ACTGCACCACCACTCCCCACACACTCACCACACACACAGCACGCTAACCACTGCACCACCACTCCCCACACACTCACTACACACACACACACAGCACGCTAACCACTGCACCACCACTCCCCACACACTCACTACACACACACACAGCACGCTAACCACTGCACCACCACTCCCCACACACTCACCACACACACAGCACGCTAACCACTGCACCACCACTCCCCACACACTCACTACACACACACACACAGCACGCTAACCACTGCACCACCACTCCCCCACGCACTCACCACACACACAGCACGCTAACCACTGCACCACCACTCCCCACTCACTACACACACACACACAGCACGCTAACCACTGCACCACCACTCCCCACACACTCACTACACACACAGCACGCTAACCACTGCACCACCGCTCCCCACACACTCACTACACACACACACAGCACGCTAACCACTGCACCACCACTCCCCACACACTCACCACACACACCACAGCACGCTAACCACTGCACCACCGCTCCCCACACACTCACCACACACACAGCACGCTAACCACTGCACCACCACCTCCCCACACACTCACCACACACACAGCACGCTAACCACTGCACCACCACTCCCCACTCACTACACACACACACACAGCACGCTACCCACTGCACCACCACTCCCCACACACTCACCACACACATAGCACGCTAACCACTGCACCACCACTCCCCACACACTCACTACACACACAGCACGCTAACCACTGCACCACCACTCCCCACACACTCACTACACACACACAGCACGCTAACCACTGCACCACCACTCCCCACACACTCACTACACACACAGCACGCTAACCACTGCACCACCACTCCACACACACTCACCACACACACAGCACGCTAACCACTGCACCACCACTCCCCACACACTCACCACACACACAGCACGCTAACCACTGCACCACCACTCCACACACACTCACTACACACACAGCACGCTAACCACTGCACCACCACTCCCCACACACTCACTACACACACAGCACGCTAACCACTGCACCACCACTCCCCACACACTCACTACACACACACTCACTACACACACAGCACGCTAACCACTGCACCACCACTCCCCACACACTCACTACACACACAGCACGCTAACCACTGCACCACCACTCCCCACACACTCACTACACACACACTCACTACACACACAGCACGCTAACCACTGCACCACCACTCACTACACACACACTCACTACACACACAGCACGCTAACCACTGCACCACCACTCCCCACACACTCACTACACACACAGCACTCTAACCACTGCACCACCACTCCCACCACTCACTACACACACTCACTACACACACAGCACGCTAACCACTGCACCACCACTCCCCACACACTCACTACACACACAGCACGCTAACCACTGCACCACCACTCCCCACACACTCACTACACACACAGCACGCTAACCACTGCACCACCACTCCCCACACACTCACTACACACACAGCACGCTAACCACTGCACCACCACTCCCCACACACTCACCACACACACACAGCACGCTAACCACTGCACCACCACTCCCCACACACTCACCACACACACACAGCACGCTAACCACTGCACCACCACTCCCCACACACTCACTACACACACAGCACGCTAACCACTGCACCACCGCTCCCCACACACTCACTACACCACACAGCACGCTAACCACTGCCCACCACTCCCCACACACTCACCACACACACAGCACGCTAACCACTGCACCACCACTCCCCCACTCCCCCCACCTCCCCCCCACCTCCTCCCACCTCCCCCATTCCCCCACCTTCCCCCCCCCACTCCCACCCACTTCCCCCCACCCTTCCCCCACCTCCCCCACCCACTCCCCCCCACTCTCTCACTCCCCCCACCTCCCCCCCACCTCCTCCCACCTCCCCCCCACTCCCCCCACCTCCCCCCCACTCCCACCCACTTCCCCCCACCCTTCCCCCACCTCCCCCACCCACTCCCCCCTACTCCCACCTCCCCCCACCCCCACTCCCCCCCACTCTCTCACTCCCCCCACCTCCCCCCCACCTCCCCCACCTCCCCTCACCCCCCACCTCCCCCCCCCACCTCCCCCCCCCCACTCCCCCCACCTCCCCCACCTCCCCTCACCCCCCACCCCCCACCTCCCCCCCCACCTCCCCCCCCCCACTCCCCCCACCTCCCCCACTCCCCCCACCACCCCCCACCCCCCCACCCCCCCACACACACAGAGAACGGCAAATGCAACAAGAAGACGGGAGACACTCAACAGACCTTAGAGACATCACGTGACGCAAACCAGTCGGCCACCAACACAGCGAGACACTCACCAACTGGTTGACCAGGTACTTGACAAGATCGCCAAACCTCCCGTGTCGTCATCGTCTGGGCCGAACGTGCCAACGCAGAATCCACAGGGGCGGTTTCTTCATTAGGGCGATTGGGCGACGCACCACCAATGTCATTGAACCACAGAGTCACGCTAGCCGTCACTGTCAGCCTCTGGATATAGTCCAATCAGCGTCATGTCACGTTCTGTGGAGTACCGCCTCTTTTTGGGCGATTTCACTCCGGCTGAGAATCGCCCCGAGTGTTCCCGTAGACTTACATTCAAAGATGTGTTTTTTCGAACGGCGGGCGCTGCAAAGCATTCTCTATGGCTTCCGGGAGGGCTCGCCCTAACGTGCTTACGTCATCATACGTAAGCACGTTTCAGTCAGCAGTATTATTTGTCGCCACCTAGTGGAATGTTTAATAAAAGAAACTGAGTGGATTGTATTAATAGAAACAAACAAGATGTATTGTAAGAGTCACTTTATTTGTCATTAATATTAAATAAGTGAAGTTGTCTTTACATGCTTAAGCTGTTAATGTATCCATTGCATGGGTGGACCTTATCCTTATCAATCATCCACACATTTGCCCCCCCTGAGAGATTTCGCAGGAGCCACCACTGCTTCTCAATGGGCGACTGAATGTTGCGACATCGATGGCGATATTGTTGGGTGAAGGTACATCGCAGTGAGTGCTACGGCGCGTCAGTCTATTTGTCGGAGAATATTTGAGAGACTGTGGTTTCTTTTTCGCGACTGTTATAGATTCGGAATCTATTCGTGGATTGCCTTGTGTCTGTGTGTGTGTGTGTCTGTGTGTGTCTGTGTGTCTGTGTGTGTGTGTGTGTGTCTGTGTGTGTGTGTCTGTGTGTTTCTGTGTGTGTGTGTGTGTCTGTGTGTGTGTCTGTGTGTGTGTGTCTGTGTGTGTCTGTGTGTCTGTGTGTGTGTCTGTGTGTCTGTGTGTGTGTCTGTGTGTGTGTATTTGGAGGCAGTCGCCCTCCAACAACAACGGAGGGCGGAGGAGCGACGCTCACAACAACGAGCGGAGCGCCGGGTGGCTAAAGCACAACAAGTTGGCACAGTAGGGGGCACAGGTGGTGCATCAGCCAGTCATCTCGGTCATCTCGGTCAGTCGACCAGTGGCACCTGGGTCTGCCCCGTGACCTCCTGCCAGCGGGCTTTCGACACTTCACGTGGCCTCAAGGTGCACTTGGCCTGGCACAAGCATCGTGGTGACGTCACCGCCACTTAGTGGCGAATGGCGGTTGTTGTTGTTGTTGTTGTGTCTGTGTGTGTGTATTTGGAGGCAGTCGCCCTCCAACAACAACGGAGGGCGGAGGAGCGACGCTCACAACAACGAGCGGAGCGCCGGGTGGCTAAAGCACAGCAAGTTGGTACAGTAGGGGGCACAGGTGGTGCATCAGCCAGTCGTCTCGGTCATCTCGGTCAGTCGACCCGTGGCACCTGCTGGGTCTGCCCCGTGACCTCCTGCCAGCGGGCGTTTGACACTTCACGTGGCAGCCTCAAGGTGCACTTGGCCTGGCACAAGCGTCGTGGTGACGTCACCGCCACTTAGTGGCGAATGGCGGTTGTTGTTGTTGTTACGTTTGTGCACAGTTTTATTTCTTAGCAGGAACGATGTTGGCCACGCCACATCCATTTCGACTCAGTTTGCCCTAAACGGGTCCATAGAGCCGTGCCTTCTCTTGCCCTACCAGGTCGCTGGAGAACACTCGATCCGACAACACAGGAGCTGTGCCCACAGGCCCCCTCCACGCCTCCACCATCACAGGAGGATCTGCTTTGTCCTTACACCGGCTCAATGCCTTCATAGGAGGTATGCAGTCAACAATGCTTGACTCAGGGAGGAGGACGCCCCTGCCGTGCATAGTCCCATGGGATGTTGGCTACCAACAACAAGGCAACTCCTACGACTAATTGGGAATGGGACGCAAGCGTAGGATTGATCGCCCTGTCGCTGGCCGCCTTTGGGGAGGGTGTATCGTATGAAAGGCCGAAACACCCTAGGAACCAAAGGGTCACTACTGACGATGCGCTCCCCAAATGTCACCAGGCTCACTGTTCGTGAACTCTTGGAAGTGCTTGCACAAAGGATCGTAACATCTCATCCTGTGTTCTTGGAATCTGAACCTACACACCTACTCACTCACCTACTCTCACCTACTCACTCACCTACTCACTCACCTACTCACTCACTCACCTACATACTCACACACTCACTCACCCACTCACTCACCTACTCACTCACTCACTCACCTACTCACTCACCTACTCACTCACCTACTCAACTCTTATTGTTGGCTATCAACAACAAGGCAACTCCTACGACTAATTGGGAATGGGACGCAAGCGTAGGATTGATCGCCCTGTCGCTGGCCGCCTTTGGGGAGGGTGTATCGTGTGAAAGGCCGAAACATTCTAGGAACCAAAGGGTCACTACTGACGATGCGCTCCCCAAATGTCACCAGGCTCGCTGTTCGTGAACTCTTGGAAGTGCTTGCACAAAGGATAGTAACATCTCATCCTGTGTTCTTTGGAATCTTCATAGAGACGTCGTTCCGTGCACAAAAGTATTTGGAAACGTCGACTTTATTTTGACGACTGTGGGACATTACGTCTCTTGGACATGTTACTGCAACTGGTAACACAATCAGAGGATTAGATATTCAACAGCAACCGTGACGTGCTTTTATTAGATAGCCTACATTGTAAAACACGTTACCAGACCTATACAAGTCGTATTTCGATTTAAAGCTTTCGTGACTGCAGGGATTCATCTTCTTGGTTCTTTCGGTAAAGTCACGTAGAAGGGAAATAATAAAATAATAAAACATAATAAAATAATTCTCACGACGCTGTCTTTCCGACAGACCTGTTTATTCACCTGAGGATGGCTGCTTGCGTTGTGGCCGAAACGTCGTGAGAATTGTTTTATTATGTTTTATTTTTATTATTTTACTACTTCCCTTCTACGTGACTTCACCGAAAGAACCAAGAAGATATACAAGTTGTGTTGCAGGCACGGAAATTACTGTTGTGATCATCCGTAAAGAATATAAGTGACGCAATTTTACTAGAACACCGCGATCAGACGTTTCAAAATCAATTGACCAACTCAGAAGATCCCTCTAAAGATATCCAGAAAGTTCTTCATTGCGTCCTCGGGATCTTCCTTCGGTCGAACACTAAAGCGTTGAACAATAAGGACCAGCATTACAATTAGTGCGTCAATTTAAAATCATCCTCACAGTAGGCCATAGTATTCGCCTTATAGACTCGACTTAGTAACCCGGGAAAGCATCGGTCAAACATTATATCAGTCCATAGGGGGCGACAATTCCTATTAATACAGTAAAGGTTTTTGTTTGGGTGAGATCGCATAAATGTGTCGTTAACCCAACATCAAATTTCGATTTAAAGCTTTCGTGACTGCAGGGATTCATCTTCTTGGTTCTTTCGGTAAAGTCACGTAGAAGGGAAATAATAAAATAATAAAAACATAATAGAATAATTCTCACGACGTTTCGGCCACAACGCAAGCAGCCGTCCTCAGGTGAAGACCAGGTCTGTCGGGGAGACAGCGTCTGAATGAAACACCGCCACGCATTCAGACGCTGTCTCCCCAACAGACCTGTTCTCCACCTGAGGACGGCTGCTTGCGTTGTGGCCGAAACGTCGTGAGAATTATTTCATTATGTTTTATTTTTATTATTTTATTACTTCCCTTCTACGTGACTTTACCGAAAGACCCAAGAAGATGAATCCCTGCAGTCACGAAAGCAGCTTTACATCGAAACGTGCCAATGAGTTAATGCTTCAGCCCACAATTGTGTAGCAGAGCAAATGCACCGATCTGTCTGCTGTCCGCCTGATGATGATGGTTGTGATCACTGGGCGAAACGTCGTACTCAGATTGTAGTGCACATTATCAGAGTTGTGTTTTTTGTTTGCATTATGACTGCATGTATTGTGGTCTATGCAAACATGACTCCTTGTAAAAAAGGTGTCAGTTTTGTTGCCAGATAGAAGGATAAAAAACAATTATCACAGATTGTAGATGTTGAGGATTTTCTCTCCCACACACTGGCTAGTGCTGCACTGGTGACGAATTGGCCACGTTCTGTTCACGTGACCAACCTTACCAGTTGGCCGTGTCGGGTGGTGGCGGGTTTAACGACACATTTCTATTTTTGCGATCTCATTTGCGAGAAGAAAAAATATGATCATTGTTTTTTTATCCTTTTATCTGGCAACAAAACTGAAAAAAGGTGTCAGTTTTGTTGCCAAAAAAAGGGTAAAAAAACAATTATCATATCCAGGACAGTCCGCTAGATTCTAACCCCGAGACCTTTACAACGAGCGGGGGGAAAAAAACACGAGCGCTGGGGCAGGTGCCGTATAAGCACGTTAAGTACGACAACGCTGCACTCGTGTTTCGGGCCGTTGATGAAAGCGCTGGTTTCTCTCACCAAGTGGAGCTTGGAGACAAGAACATGCGACTTTTGGAACCGCCGCATGATTTCTCAGCGCATGCCACCTGGGATGTGAAACAAAGGCAAGAGCTTAAACATCATCCTCCAATCACGATCGCGTCAAAAACAAGAAGTCATCGTGGCGACAGCCGTTGACACCAGCAGACTTCTCCAAGCGAGGGAATAAGAAACAGAGGTCGCAAACGGGTTTTGATTCCTCACCCGTACCCGTACCCGGCCGCACCAGGGTCGTAAACGGCTACCCGTACCCTACCCGATACCCGGCTACCCGTACCCAGCTGGGTACGGGTAGGGTACGGGTATCGGGTACCCAATTGCGACCTCTGGGATGAAGCCACGTTGCAGGCGCGGGTGGGTTGATTCTAGGAACTTGAATTGTGAGAAGAGACAAGACGTTGGGAAATGAGTGACAAACGGTGACTCACCAGTGACTCACGGCCTACCCGTACCCGTACCCGACTGGGTACGGGTAGCCGGGTATCGGGTAGCGTACGGGTATCGGGTACCCGGTTGCGACCTCTGATAATAAATAAACAAGAAGAGAGTTGTTGTGACCAGCGGTGGAAGAGCGTGGATCAGATGAAACAGTCCGGTAAACCGAGCGCTCAACATATGTGTAAAAATCAACGGTTGAGGTTCAAGCTGAGAGTAGTCACAGCAGATAAGGCACAGAGTGATCAGGAGCTAACTGTTGTTCAATTCTACGAATAATCATAATCAGCAATGCCGTATTTGGAACTGAACCTCAGAGCGCGCGTGCGATCGCGGTTCATCGTGTCCTTACCGAACGTGCACATCAAATGTGGCGTTTGCATTTCCGTGTCCAGTCTGTGATGCAATTTTACCCGCTCGGAATTCGTCGGCAGAGGTTGACTGGCCCGTGCGACACGGGGCGGAACGACGGCTCGAACACGCCGCTCCTGGAGATTCCACTGCACATCAAGTCCTGAGCTTCTGTCGTCGTAAGTTCTCTTCTTACGGCTGTCATCCCTCTTGTCGACTCTGCACAACCGGAATGTGGCCACTATTTAGTATTCGTATTCTTAGGTTTTTTCGGTAAAATCACCGTGTAGGTAAAAACATTAAAAAGTAAAATAAAATAAAATCACGACGTTTCGGAGGCAACACAAGCTTCCGTCTTCAGGTGGAACCGTCACAGCCACGACAGCTGCATCAAGTAAATGAGAGATTGCAAGAGCTACCACTCCGTTTATATAATGGTTGGAGAGGGGGGGGGGGTAAGGGCCAAGTACAGCACACTTTTTATTCATATGGTAAGGCGAGGCTTAATTTTAATGTTTTATCTACGTGACTTTACCGAAAAAACCTAAGAATATGAATCCTTGCAATCACGAAAGCTTCAAATCTAGAATTAACACTATTTAGTCGTCGTATTGGCGAACTACCTACGTACTCATCTTATTGGTTCTTTCGGTAAAGTCACGTAGAAGGGAAGTAATAAAATAATAAAAATAAAACATAACAAAATAAAATAATTATTATATTATTTTATTATATTATTTTATTTTATTATGTTTTATTTTTATTATTTTATTACTTCCCTTCTACGTGACTTTACCGAAAGAACCAAGAAGATGAATCCATGCAGTCACGAAAAAAGCTTTAAATCGAAATTTACCTCCGTACTATTAACTAACACCAATTAATTTCGATTTAAAGCTTCTTTCGTGACTGCAGGGATTCATATTCTTGTCTCTGTCGGTAAAGTCACGTAGAAGGAAGATAATAAAATTATATAAATATAAAATAATAACATTTCTCACGACGTTTCGACTGCAACACAAGCAATCATCATCAGGTGTGAAATCCACGGCAAGAAAATAAAAAAATTAAAAAAATTAATGCGGTGGCTTTCACACCTGATGATGATTGCTTGTGTTGCAGTCGAAACGTCGTGAGAATTTTTTATTGTTTTATATTTATATGATTTTATCTGAGGTGTGGACTCGAGTCATGTGACTTGGACTCGAGTCAGACTCGAGTCATGAATTTGATGACTTCAGACTCGACTTGGACTTGCATAACAATGACTTTGTCCCACCTCTGAGCTGGTGTGGACTCGAGTCATGTGACTTGGACTCGAGTCAGACTCGAGTCATGAATTTGATGACTTCAGACTCGACTTGGACTTGCATAACAATGACTTTGTCCCACCTCTGAGCTGGTGTGGACTCGAGTCATGTGACTTGGACTCGAGTCAGACTCGAGTCATGAATTTGATGACTTCAGACTCGACTTGGACTTGCATAACAATGACTTTGTCCCACCTCTGAGCTGGTGTGGACTCGAGTCATGTGACTTGGACTCGAGTCAGACTCGAGTCATGAATTTGATGACTTCAGACTCCACTTGGACTTGCATAACAATGACTTTGTCCCACCTCTGAGCTGGTGTGGACTCGAGTCATGTGACTTGGACTCGAGTCAGACTCGAGTCATGAATTTGATGACTTCAGACTCGACTTGGACTTGCATAACAATGACTTTGTCCCACCTCTGAGCTGGTGTGGACTCGAGTCATGTGACTTGGACTCGAGTCAGACTCGAGTCATGAATTTGATGACTTCAGACTCGACTTGGACTTGCATAACAATGACTTTGTCCCACCTCTGAGCTGGTGTGGACTCGAGTCATGTGACTTGGACTCGAGTCAGACTCGAGTCATGAATTTGATGACTTCAGACTCGACTTGGACTTGCATAACAATGACTTTGTCCCACCTCTGAGCTGGTGTGGACTCGAGTCATGTGACTTGGACTCGAGTCAGACTCGAGTCATGAATTTGATGACTTCAGACTCGACTTGGACTTGCATAACAATGACTTTGTCCCACCTCTGAGCTGGTGTGGACTCGAGTCATGTGACTTGGACTCGAGTCAGACTCGAGTCATGAATTTGATGACTTCAGACTCGACTTGGACTTGCATAACAATGACTTTGTCCCACCTCTGAGCTGGTGTGGACTCGAGTCATGTGACTTGGACTCGAGTCAGACTCGAGTCATGAATTTGATGACTTCAGACTCGACTTGGACTTGCATAACAATGACTTTGTCCCACCTCTGAGCTGGTGTGGACTCGAGTCATGTGACTTGGACTCGAGTCAGACTCGAGTCATGAATTTGATGACTTCAGACTCGACTTGGACTTGCATAACAATGACTTTGTCCCACCTCTGAGCTGGTGTGGACTCGAGTCATGTGACTTGGACTCGAGTCAGACTCGAGTCATGAATTTGATGACTTCAGACTCGACTTGGACTTGCATAACAATGACTTTGTCCCACCTCTGAGCTGGTGTGGACTCGAGTCATGTGACTTGGACTCGAGTCAGACTCGAGTCATGAATTTGATGACTTCAGACTCGACTTGGACTTGCATAACAATGACTTTGTCCCACCTCTGGATTTTATTATTTCCCCTCTACGTGACTTTACCGAAAGAACCAAGAATCCCAATTCATTTGTTTACATTACACTTGATTACCCAGAACATCCTCACTTAATATCGACCGTTTCAGGAAGGCCTTGCTACATTTTTGCAGAAGGGGTGACGATCGCTTTGTTTGAAATTTAGTAATTTGCACGAAGTTTTGACCATTCCGCTGGCACACAATGACCTACTCTTCGAATGACTTCACGTGGTCACAGTGAAGCAGACAACGCATAGTATGTTATTGTTAATACAGGCCGTAGTTATAACCAGGGTGGTCTGCTGGATGCTAACCACTGATCTTTGCAACAAGTGGCGAACGCGGTACCACTGAACCAAGAAGATGAATCCCTGCTGCAGTCACGAAAGAAGCTTTGAATCGAAATTCATTTCGGATGATGTCGCTGACTAATGTTTGCATGTAGAATGTGCGTGGTGAGAGCGGTGATCAGAGAGAGAGACGCACCGACTGTCGTCTTGATGTTGAAATGCTGGAACCGGAACATGAGCGACGCTCAAGGGAGATCGGAGTTTGTCCACCCCCCTTGGCAACTCTCTGGACCCCGACGTGTCATCCACACTCTTGTCACCAGCAGTCACAGCTGCACACACACACACACCACCATGTTTCGTCGAGCGGCATTACAAAGCTTCTTGCTGTATTCTTAGGTTTGTTTTCGGTAAAGTCACGTAGGTAGAAATTTAAATTAATAAAAGTAATTTTTATTATATTTTTATTTATCTTTAATTAATTTTAATGTTTTACCTACGTGACTTTACCGAAACAAACCTAAGAATATGAATCATTGCAGTTACGAAAGCTTCAAATCTAGAAATTCTTGCTGTACATTGCGCCGTGTAAAATGTGTATCCCTATCCAGAGTGCATCAATATACAGGGCAGCCCAAACAGTGAGGGCACAAAGAGTGATTATACTTGTTTTTACAAATCACATGGGGTTATTTCATTTATTTTAACAAACGTTCAAACTGACTTCCATAAAACATCGCGATGAATTGCCGTCATTGTTTTAGTAGGCTAAGAGCTCAGACGACACAGAGTTATCAACATGACAAGTGTAGCAGTCACGGAAGCTACAAAATTAAGATTGAACCACTTCTACGGGGAAGTTTTAAGTTTATCTTTTTCTCTCTCTCTCTGATTTTTTGTTTTCTCTCTCTGCCTGTGTCCTCTCTTTGGAATTTTCACACTTAAATTCTAACTTAGCAATCTTTGAAATACGTAATCGACCAGGCTATGCGTTGTGTGTTGACCGACTCTCTGTGTTGCATTACATTACATTTCGATATTTTGCTAGGTTATCTAATTTTAGTGTGTATTTCTCCTAATTTTCCACTCATTGACTTGCTAATTTTTTTCTCTGCCCCCTCCCTCTCTCCGCCCCCGCCCCCTCTCTCTATTTAAGGCCTCGTCACAGAGACGATCTCTCTCTGTGTGCCGATACGTGTTGTTCTCTCTCTGTGTATCTTGGCGATATCTGTCTGCTTATATGTCTGTCTATAATTCTAGACTTGAAGCTTTCGTGACTGCAAGGAATCATATTCTTAGGTGTTTTCGGTAAAGTCACCGTGTAGGTAAAACATCAAAATTAATAAAAATAATAAAATAAAATAAAGATCACGACGTTTCGGAGGCAACACAAGTCTCCGTCATCAGGTGGGACAGTCACAGCCAGATCAGCTGCATCAAGTGAGGCAATGATTCAAGATGTAATCCCTTAAAAGCGAGTTGAGGGGGGGGGGAGCTCATCAGAATGTGGTAGCCAATGAATGGAAAGTATCGGGAGAGAGAGATGTTTTACCTACGTGACTTTACCGAAAACACCTAAGAATATGTCTGTCTATATTTTTCTGGTTACATTTATGTCGCTATTTCTTTTATGTCTAATGATGATTGCTTGTGTTGCAATCGAAACGTCGTAGTATGCTATTATTTAATATATTACTTTATCGTTATACGTGACTTTACCGAAAGAACCAAAGAATAACTCCTGCAGTCACGAAAGCTCCAAAATTAAGATTGTAGCATTTTAAGTTGAGCACACAGCCATCATCTACAGACACAACCACATTACCCAATTCGCCTTGAGGCGACAGCAGCTCAGAAGGACCACTGCATCTGCAATAAAGACACACGCGTTTAAAATGTCAAGCCTCGCCATGCCTATACAAGCACAACACACCTTAACGCTGTATGACTCAGCATGATTAAAATGTATTAATCACCGTTTGCATTTTAAATATTCAGCACACTTTATTTACTGTCAAACGTACCTGTCGTCATGCGGTCCACACTGAGGCTTCGGGGCGTAAGCAAACTTGGATAAGTTCACTGAGATTCCCCCCTTTATAGAGCAAACCTATGAATGCACTCAGCACAAGGCACAGCAACAGGATGTTCACAACATGCTTCAGGTAATAGATGCAGTAGAATAAAGTTTAGATGGAAGCATATTATATAATTTTTACGACGTAGAATTGTAATGTATTACTTGCTGTTAGTAACTCAGCTTAGTGTAGAGTATAGTAAGTATACTGATGGTGCTATGCTATTTATACTTTAGTTTTTTATGTAGTTTATACTTTAGTTTTCTACGTGGTGGTTGAGTAACTGCAGCTACATATCATTAACATTCCTTTCCTTTGTTACTGCTAATCCCTGCACCCCCCCTTGGTGCTGTTGATCCTGCATAATGCATGGGCATAATATGACTTTGAAACCCCCCCACCCACCTCCTACGCATTTCCCATGAATATGCTAAACTCCTCTTCATATGCACATTCTTTTGTTAAGGCGCTCTTTCCTCCACCTCCAACGCAGCTTATATATAAGCTCCTAGCTTGGCATTGTCTCATTCTTCACCTGAAGACGGCTGCTTGCGTTGTAGCCGAAACGTCGTGAGAATTATTTTATTTTATTATGTTTTATTTTTTTTATTATTTTATTACTTCCCTTCTACGTGACTTTACCGAAAGAACTAAGAAGATGCTTCAGGTATATTGAGGGTTTACAATTATAGTGCTGGACGCAAACACAATCTGAAACGTTTTGTTTCCAATAAAATGACAATTATTACAACATTGGCATGTTAAATTTCGATTTAAAGCTTCTTTCGTGACTGCAGGGATTCATCTTCTTGGTTCTTTCGGGAAAGTCATCACGTAGAAGAATGTTTTTAAAATAAAGTTGTATTTCTATTACTTCATTATTTCCCTTCGACGTGACTTTTTCAGTTCTAAATGTTTGCGTACGCGTGTTTCGCTACGTGCATGCCAATTTACACAAAACTACACGAGGCGCAGTACGAGCACCACCGCGGTAACAGCTGTGAGGGCTGTAGAAGTGCGCGATGTTTCACCGCAACATTTCCACTCGTACCTTGAGCCTTTTGTTATCTGGAACGCCGGTCAGACTCACGCTCTTGCTTTTGAGTTCACTCAAGTAGCTCCGCACGTGAGCGCTCGAGGTGCTAGGCGCCAGCGGCGTTGACCTGGCCACATTTCCTTTACCTGGAAGTTAAAACGGCGCGACACAAGCGCTTAGAGGTGAGTAGCAACAACAACAACAACACTGCACTCACCAGGCTGCACCAGCGCTTAGAGGCGAGTAGCAACAACAACAACAACACTGCACTCACCAGGCTGCACCAGCGCTTAGAGGCGAGTAGCAACAACAACAACAACACTGCACTCACCAGGCTGCACCAGCGCTTAGAGGCGAGTAGCAACAACAACAACAACACTGCACTCACCAGGCTGCACCAGCGCTTAGAGGCGAGTAACAACAACAACAACAACACTGCACTCACCAGGCTGCACAAGCGCTTAGAGGCGAGTAGCGACAACAACAACAACACTGCACTCACCAGGCTGCACCAGCGCTTAGAGGCGAGTAGCAACAACAACAACAACAACAACACTGCACTCACCAGGCTGCACAAGCGCTTAGAGGCGAGTAGCAACAACAACAACAACACTGCACTCACCAGGCTGCACAAGCGCTTAGAGGCGAGTAGCGACAACAACAACAACACTGCACTCACCAGGCTGCACAAGCGCTTAGAGGCGAGTAGCAGCAACAACAACAACAACACTGCACTCACCAGGCTGCACAAGCGCTTAGAGGCGAGTAGCAACAACAACAACAACAACACTGCACTCACCAGACAGCACAAGCGCTTAGAGGCGAGTAGCAACAACAACAACACTGCACTCACCAGGCTGCACCAGCGCTTAGAGGCGAGTAGCAACAACAACAACAACAACACTGCACTCACCAGACAGCACAAGCGCTTAGAGGCGAGTAGCAACAACAACAACAACAACACTGCACTCACCAGGCTGCACAAGCGCTTAGAGGCGAGTAGCAGCAACAACAACAACAACACTGCACTCACCAGGCTGCACAAGCGCTTAGAGGCGAGTAGCAACAACAACAACAACACAGCACTCACCAGGCTGCACCAGCGCTTAGAGGCGAGTAGCAACAACAACAACAACACTGCACTCACCAGGCTGCACCAGCGCTTAGAGGCGAGTAACAACAACAACAACAACACTGCACTCACCAGGCTGCACAAGCGCTTAGAGGCGAGTAGCAACAACAACAACAACACTGCACTCACCAGGCTGCACCAGCGCTTAGAGGCGAGTAGCAACAACAACAACAACAACACTGCACTCACCAGGCTGCACCAGCGCTTAGAGGCGAGTAGCAACAACAACAACAACACTGCACTCACCAGGCTGCACAAGCGCTTAGAGGCGAGTAGCAACAACAACAACAACACTGCACTCACCAGACAGCACCAGCGCTTAGAGGCGAGTAGCAACAACAACAACAACACTGCACTCACCAGGCTGCACAAGCGCTTAGAGGCGAGTAGCAACAACAACAACAACACAGCACTCACCAGGCTGCACCAGCGCTTAGAGGCGAGTAGCAACAACAACAACAACACTGCACTCACCAGGCTGCACAAGCGCTTAGAGGCGAGTAGCAACAACAACAACAACACTGCACTCACCGGGCTGCACAAGCGCTTAGAGGCGAGTAGCAACAACAACAACAACAACACTGCACTCACCAGGCTGCACAAGCGCTTAGAGGCGAGTAGCAACAACAACAACAACACTGCACTCACCAGGCTGCACAAGCGCTTAGAGGCGACAACAACAACAACAACACAGCACTCACCAGGCTGCACAAGCGCTTAGAGGCGAGTAGCAACAACAACAACAACAACACAGCACTCACCAGGCTGCACAAGCGCTTAGAGGCGAGTAGCAACAACAACAACAACACTGCACTCACCAGGCTGCACAAGCGCTTAGAGGCGAGTAGCAACAACAACAACAACACTGCACTCACCAGGCTGCACAAGCGCTTAGAGGCGAGTAGCAACAACAACAACAACAACACTGCACTCACCAGGCTGCACAAGCGCTTAGAGGCGAGTAGCAACAACAACAACAACAACACTGCACTCACCAGGCTGCACAAGCGCTTAGAGGCGAGTAGCAACAACAACAACAACACTGCACTCACCAGGCTGCACCAGCGCTTAGAGGCGAGTAGCGACAACAACAACAACACTGCACTCACCAGGCTGCACCAGCGCTTAGAGGCGAGTAGCGACAACAACAACAACAACACTGCACTCACCAGGCTGCACCAGCGCTTAGAGGCGAGTAGCAACAACAACAACAACAACACTGCACTCACCAGGCTGCACCAGCGCTTAGAGGCGAGTAGCAACAACAACAACACTGCACTCACCAGACGCTTTCACATTACCGGTGAGCCGCTCACAGTTGTGTACTAAAGCTCTTTGAGACGACTTCTGGAATCCGTCTTTAATTCACTTTAGGTTACAGCTACTTCTAGAGTTGAAGCTTTCGTGACTACAAGGATTCATATTCTTAGGTTTTTTCGGTAAAGTCACGTGTAGGTAAAAAAACATTATTTTATTTTACTTTTTAATGTTTTTTTTACCTACGTGACTTTACCGAAAAAACCTAAGAATAGGTTACAGCTACTTGACGCTGCTGATAGGCAACGTTAAGTGGACAGACGGACCGAGAGAGACTCACGGCCACGTGGCAACTCGGAGCCCCGCTCCCGCGTGGCCCCTTCCTCCGTTGGTTCCCGTTCTGACCACGTGTCGTTTCTCTCCGCCCCTACTTAGCACCCGGGTCACGTGGTACGCTTCTGCCAATCCTCGTTAGCCTCCATGGAATCTTCCAGGCTCCCTCGTTAGCTCCCGGGACCACGCCCCTGACTCGTCTCCCCATTGGCTGAGGCCAAAGCCAGCAGAACCAATCATCTACTTGCAGATGTTACCATCACGTCAGGGCCACGCCCCTAACTCGTCTCCCCATTGGCTGAGGCCAAAGCCAGCAGAACCAATCATCTACTTGCAGATGTTACCATCACGTCAGGGCCACGCCCCTAACTCGTCCACCCATTGGCTGAGGCCAAAGCCAGCAGACCCAATCCCCATAGCTGTCACCCTTCCATCACGTCAGGACCACGCCCCTAACTCGTCTCCCCATTGGCTGAGGCCAAAGCCAGCAGAACCAATCATCTACTTGCAGATGTTACCATCACGTCAGGGCCACGCCCCTAACTCGTCTCCCCATTGGCTGAGGCCAAAGCCAGCAGAACCAATCATCTACTTGCAGATGTTACCATCACGTCAGGGCCACGCCCCTAACTCGTCCACCCATTGGCTGAGGCCAAAGCCAGCAGACCCAATCCCCATAGCTGTCACCCTTCCATCACGTCAGGGCCACGCCCCTGACTCGTCTCCCCATTGGCTGAGGCCAAAGCCAGCAGAACCAATCATCTACTTGCAGCTGTCACCCTTCCATCACGTCAGGGCCACGCCCCTGACTCATCTCCCCATTGGCTGAGGCCAAAGCCAGCAGAACCAATCATCTACTTGCAGCTGCCACCATGACGTCAGGGCCACGCCCCTAACTCGTCCACCCATTGGCTGAGGCCAAAGCCAGCAGAACCAATCATCTACTTGCAGCTGCCACCATCACGTCAGGGCCACGCCCCTGACTCGTCTCCCCATTGGCTGAGGCCAAAGCCAGCAGAACCAATCATCTACTTGCAGCTGCCACCATGACGTCAGGGCCACGCCCCTAACTCGTCCACCCATTGGCTGAGGCCAAAGCCAGCAGAACCAATCATCTACTTGCAGCTGCCACCATCACGTCAGGGCCACGCCCCTAACTCGTCCACCCATTGGCTGAGGCCAAAGCCAGCAGAACCAATCATCTACTTGCAGCTGTCACCTTCCCATGACGTCAGAGCCACGCCCCTGACTCGTCTCCCCATTGGCTGAGGCCAAAGCCAGCAGAACCAATCATCTACTTGCAGATATCACCTTCCCATGACGTCAGAGCCACGCCCCTAACTCGTCCACCCATTGGCTGAGGCCAAAGCCAGCAGAACCAATCATCTACTTGCAGCTGTCACCTTTCCATGACGTCAGAGCCACGCCCCTGACTCGTCTCCCCATTGGCTGAGGCCAAAGTCAGCAGAACCAATCCCCATGATGAGTTGTGATACGTCAGTGAGCCGGATATATTCTCATATTACAGTTGGAAGGATCCGAGTTCAGATCCTAGTGGGCGGGTTGGTTCAGCCTACGACATTCTTCAGGGTCAGTAAAATGTGTATCAAGTTGTGGGGAACACAACAGAATCAGACTCCTGTGAATCACTTCTGGATTTGAAGTTTTCGTGACCGCAAGGATTCATACTGTTTTTTGTCGGCAAAATCACGTAGGTGAGAAATTAAATACATTAAATTACTGACGCGGTCATTTTGATGTGACGGTTCCACCTGAAGGCGGATGCTTGTGTTGCCTCCGAAACGTCGTGATTTAATTTATTTAAATTTTTTACCTACGTGAATCAGACTCACCCCACCACAGCACGATGTAGAATCAGCACTTACTGGACCACGGCCGTCATCAGGAAATGAGCATCGCCTTGAATGCTCATTTGAGCAGCACAACAAAGACTCTACGAGTTCATCTTCTTGGTTCTTTTGGTAAAGTCACGTAGAAGGGAAGCAATAAAATAATAAAAATAAAACATAATAAAATAAAATAATTCTCACGACGTTTCGGCCACAACGCAAGCAGCCGTCCTCAGGTGAAGAATGAGACATTTCCAAGCTAGGAGCTAATATATACGCTGCGTTGGAGGTGCAAGAGCGCCTTAACAAAAAGAATGTGCATATCAAGAGGAATTTAGCATATTCATGGGAAATGCGTAGGAGGTGGGTGGGGGGGGGGGGTTTCATAGTCATATTATGCCCATGCATTATGCAGGATCAACAGCACCAAGGGGGGTGCAGTAGCATTAACAAAGGAAAAGAATGTTAATAGTATGTAGCTGCAGTTACTAAACAACAACGTAGAAAACTAAAGTATAGTTAGTTATTTATTAGGCCTATGATACAGGTAACAAATTGTACCATGAGAGAATTAGCGACGATTGAGTTTGATTGATGAAAATTAGATACAAATGTCTCGCTCTGGCTAACGTTGAAAACGACACCGCACGGACAGAAAGTGCGAGACACAAACCGTGCGGATGAGGCAGCAGAAACTTGACAAAAAGAATGCCGTCGTGAATCGAATCGTGTCAAATCGCATCACTTTACACACGCCATTACCAGCCTGCAAACAACATCAATACGCACACACGGTACGCAATCCGTGTCTGTCCCTCTGCGTGAACATTCAAGTCATTTTCATGGTTCTTTTGGTAAAGTCACGTAGAAGGAAAATAAAATAAAATAATAAAAATAAGACTTCATAAAATTCTCACGATGTTTCGGCCACAATGCAAGCAGCCGTCCTCAGGTGAAGAACAGCGCTGTCGGAAAGACAGCGTCCGAAGAACAGCCGAAAGCTTTAAACAGCTTTAAATCGAACATTAAAGTCATTGTGTACATCCCATCTGCCGAAACCTCCATTCTGGGAGTGCATCATTACAGCAAAATGTGTTCAATACAATCAAACGCTGCACCAGTTGTTTCCGTTCAGTGTCTCATCAGCGAAGTCAGATTTGCTTGAATCAATGCTGGCGCATGACCAAAAGTGTATCGGTCCTCGTTTGATGAAACATGATAAGATACGCAACCCAACATAATCACAATCGCGTGTTGTAGTAACAACTGTGTAAGCAGTGGCGGCTCCTGCAAAATCTCTCAAGGGGGGGGGGGCAAATGTCTGGATGATTGATAAGGATAAGGTCTACCCATGCAATGGATAAATTAACAGCTTAAGCATGTAAAGGCAACTTCACTTCTTTAATATTAATGACAAATAAAGTGACTCTTACAATACATCTTGTTTGTTTATATACTCACTATTAAAACAATCCACTCAAGTTTCTTTTATTAAAGATTCCACTAGGTGGCGACAAATTATATTGTTGGATGAAACGTGCTTACGTATGATGACGTAAGCACGTTAGGGCGAGCCCTCCCTGAAGCCGTAGAGAATGCTTTGCAGCGCCCCCCGGTCGAAAAAAAACATCTTTGAATGTAAGTCTATGGGAACACTCGGGGCGATTCTCAGCCGGAGTGAAATCGCCCAAAAAGAGGCGGTACTCCACAGAACGTGACATGACGCTGATTGGACTATATCCAGAGGCACAGTGACGGCTAGCGTGACTCTGTGGTTCAATGACATTGGTGGTGCGTCGCCCAATCGCCCTAATGAAGAAACCGCCCCTGTTTGTAAGTATGTTTCATCGTGATGAAGGTACTCACAGCACTCGTGCCCACACGATTGTTTGTTTTTGCAGTTATGAAGACAGCCTCTCTTGGATTCATCCAAGCCAGCAAGTTGCTTCACTGTAAACGTATTTTATAACGACACATTACACATTACGTGACTCATACGATCAAATGCTGAACTTTAATGAACATTACTTTCAGCATAGTTTAGGTCGAGTGAAAGAGTTGAGATATGTAAAATACTCTCGTGTGCAGAAGCATGTCTTAAAATGTTCCAAGGAGGGTGGGGGGGTGGGGGGACAGTCCTGAACTTTTAATTGGGTCCCTAAAGTCGTATACAATATATATTTTTCGATGTAAAGCTTTCGTGACTGCAGGGATTCATCTTCTTGGTTCTTTCGGTAAAGTCACGTAGAAGGGAAATAATAAAATAATGCAAATAAAACATCATAAAATACAATTCTCACGACGTTTCGGCCACAACTCAAGCAGCCGTCCTCAGGTGAAGAACAGGTCTGTCGGGAATACAGTCTTTCATTCAGACGCTGTCTTTCCGACAGACCTGTTCTTCACCTGAAGACGGCTGCTTGCGTTGTGGCCGAAACGTCGTGAGAATTATTTTATTATGTTTTATTTGCATTATTTTATTATTTCCCTTCTACGTGACTTTACCGAAAGAACCAAGAAGAAAAATACATATAGTTAAAGTATTTTCTCTGAGAATAAAATATTAATTTTCGGCGTCTCAAGGAAGAGGGGAGGGAGGGGGGTCAATGGCCACTGTGTCCGTTTGGAACTCGTTAGCACACAAGAGATTATCTTTGCAGTAAAGTTGTATGTGTACAGGTCAACTCTACAACAAAATAGAATGCACCACACTGAACGTCCCCTGTGTATATTGCTTCACACTTGCCACAGCATGAGTTGGTGTTAAAAATTGCACAATTTAAGGATTATATCAGTGTTGTAAATATGAGATGGTGCATTCTGAATTGATTCTATGGGATCAAATGCATGCGGTGGAAATAAACCAATTGATCTAAAATGCATGCAGAAACGAGGCGACACAAACCATTGCCGGCTGCTTGTGCTGCTGCTGCTCCTGCTGCTGAGACAGACGTCTTTGGTTTCTCACAGGTAGCAGCATGCAGGGATTGGGCCTGCAGATGCCTCTCATTCCCATAGAGCCCAGGGGTGCGTGGGCTCGAGTAGGATGGAGTGAAGCTCTGATGGATGTCCATACCAACTGGGAAAAGCATGAAAAGCACATTTTTACCACCATAGCTTCAATCATTCTAGATTTGAAGCTTTCGTGACTGCTGCAAGGATTCATATTCTTAGGTTTTTTCGGTAAAGTCACCGTGTAGGTAAAACATTAAAATTAATAAAAGTAAAATAAAATAAAAATCACGACGTTTCGGAGGCAACACAAGCTTCCGTCTTCAGGTGGAACCGTCACAGCCACGACAGCTTTTTCAGATTCCAAAGAACACAGGATGAGATGTTACTATCCTTTGTGCAAGCACTTCCAAGAGTTCATGAACAGCGAGCCTGGTGACATTTGGGGAGCGCATCGTCAGTAGTGAACCTTTGGTTCCTAGGGTGTTTCGGCCTTTCACACTATACACCCTCCCCAAAGGCTGTATCAGGCAAATGAGAGATTACAAGAGCTACCACTCCGTATATATAATGGTTGGTTTAATAAAAAAGTGTGGTAGCTCTTGCAATCTCTCATTTACTTGATGCAGCTGCCGTGGCTGTGACGGTTCCACCTGAAGACGGAAGCTTGTGTTGCCTCCGAAACGTCGTGATTTTTATTTTACTTTTATTAATTTAAATTTTTACCTACACGGTGACTTTACCGAAAAACACCTAAGAATATGTTCACTGGGAAGTTGCTAACTCTCGTTTGCTGCCCCCATAATCTGTACCTCCCTCCTCACAGTGACAAGCTCTCTCGACTCCGTTTCCGCGTAGAAATGCAGCGTCAAGAGCTTCCTCTTTCCTCGGCCTATGACCGACTGCCTCTCTATGTACAACTTTTTGAAAATATTCCTTCTGTTTGTGAGACCGCGTCTTGAGATGCTGTCGCGTTTGGACGTTACACGAATCCACGTTGCACTGCAACCTTTGATTTAAAAAAAAATAACAAGTAAAATTGGACGAGAGGCTACATGGATGAAACGGAGGAGTTTGTGTGCGACATGTTGCGAGATTGCCACTCGTTCGCGAACTGACATCTGTGCTCGCGTGCCCAGGAATGTATTGTCACCTAGACCTGGTACCAGTGTCGAGTTGAAATGTATCCCAGGACACGGTGCAATTCTGCTAGCCCTCGGCCAGGGGTCGGCAACCAAGAGCCTTTTTTTTAAATCCTTTATATTAAGTTCACTTGCGTGCTTGCGTGCTTGCTTACGACCGTGCAAACCTTTCGGTCGTTTTTTAACCCACTTCCCGTGATCCAATCGAGCTGACATTTTGCACACAGACTCGTTGGGCGAGACAATTAATGTTCGTGAAAAATGTTTTCCAAAAATTTACACTGTTTAGGGAAAACAAATTAAATATTTAACTACCAATTGTTTAATACTGGCAGACAATCATCTGACCCATAGGTGGCAGCCATCTCAAGCCAGAGGACGAGAGGATTCTAGCCGCCACGCATATAAAGGATTTATAGTGAAAAACTTTGTTTTTACGGGTTATACTTATTATCGAATTCGGTACAAAACTCAATATTTCAAAAGCTGCCATACATGTGTAATAAACCCGCTCCGAACGATATTGTGTCTTGTTGTCTTTTCCTGATTCGTTCTCTGGTCACACGGCTCCCTCACACGCCGGGTCTCTTTGTCCCGTCCCCTGAGCGTGGCGTCGCTCGCCCCCTCGCTCGCTCGCTCCCTCACGCCGCTGGCTGACGGCGGCGTGAGGTAGACAAACTCTGGCCTGCCACGTGGCCGCTGGCGTGTGCCGGAGGCACAGACGTGGTCTCTCCTCCAAGCTCTTCACACTGACCCAGAGGTCGCAACCGGGTACCCGATACCCGTACCCTACCCGATACCTGGCTACCCGTACCCGGCCGGGTACGGGTACCCGTTTGCGACCCTGGTGCAGCCGGGTACGGGTAGGCCGTGAGTCACTGGTGAGTCACCGGTTGTCACTCATTTCCCAACGTCTTGTCTCTTCTCACAATTCAAGTTCCTAGAATCAACCCACCCGCGCCTGCAACGTGGCTTCATCCCAGAGGTCGCAATCGGGTACCCGATACCCGTACCCGTACCCGTACCCGGCTGGGTACGGGTAGGGTACGGGTACGGCCGGGTACGGGTACCCGTTTGCGACCCTGGTGCGGCCGGGTACGGGTACGGGTACGGGTACGACGGTTAAGGAATCAAAACCCGTTTGCGAGCTCTGCACTGACCTGGAACTGTCTCTCTCCACCCCTCATATCCCCTGGCCCACGTGATACCCCCAGCCAATCCTCAGCCTCTCCCCTGGAACCTTCCAGATGTTGCTATGCAGCCCCAGAGCCACGCCCCTGGCTCGCCGTCCCATTGGCTGAGGGCTGAGGCCGGCAGAGCCTATCAGTTACCCCCCCTCCCCGGGTGCATGTGAATACTGTACGCACATACGTGACGCCATGCAGCAGTCTGTGGACAGCTGCATGCGGCTCTGAAGCTGACTCCTGACCAAGGCTGACTGAGAACGATGACCTGGTGTAGTCTGTGGACAGCTGCATGCGGCTCTGAAACTGACTCCTGACCAAGGCTGACTAAGAACGATGACCTGGTGTAGTCTGTGGACAGCTGCATGCGGCTCCGAAACTGACTCCTGACCAAGGCTGACTGAGAACGATGTCTTGGTGTAGTCTGTAGAAAGCTGCATGCGGCTCCGAAACTGACTCCTGACCAAGGCTGACTGAGAACGATGTCCTGGTGTAGTCTGTGGACAGCTGCATGGGGCTAGGAAACTGACTCCTGACCAAGGCTGACTGAGAACGATGACCTGGTGTAGTCTGTGGAAAGCTGCATGCGTCTCCGAAGCTGACTCCTGACCAAGGCTGACTGAGAACGATGACCTGGTGTAGTCTGTGGACAGCTGCATGCGGCTCTGAAACTGACTCCTGACCAAGGCTGACTGAGAACGATGTCCTGGTGTAGTCTGTGGACAGCTGCATGGGGCTAGGAAACTGACTCCTGACCAAGGCTGACTGAGAACGATGTCCTGGTGTAGTCTGTGGAAAGCTGCATGCGGCTCTGAAACTGACTCCTGACCAAGGCTGACTGAGAACGATGTCCTGGTGTAGTCTGTGGACAGCTGCATGCGGCTCGAAACTGACTCCTGACCAAGGCTGACTGAGAACGATGACCTGGTGTAGTCTGTGGACAGCTGCATGCGGCTCCGAAACTGACTCCTGACCAAGGCTGACTGAGAACGATGACCTGGTGCAGTCTGTGGACGAGGTGGCAGCCCCGGGACGTACCGTACGTCGAGCTGAGAAGGTGGATGTCGAGCTTGTCACTTTTTTCCGGCCGAACAACTTCCAGCTTCTTCATCCAACTCCCCGTTCTCAGCAGCATGTCGTCTCTGCGAAGGTCACATGGGTGTACGCGTAGCTTCCATAACTTGCTATTACCGTAGGTATCTCAGTGATGAAATGTGTGCGCCGTGTTGCACCCGACGTTCAAGATTTCTGACATTCACAACGAGTAGAACATTCTAGTGCCTCTCCGTAACAAAGGCTCACCCTCTCAAGCCTCACCTTACCATATTGATAAAAAGTATGCGGCCATTGCCCCACCACCTTCTCCAAACCATTATATAAACGGAGTGGTAGCTCTTGTAATCTCTCATCTACTTGATGCAGCTGTCGTGGCTGTGACGGTTCCACCTGAAGACGGAAGCTTGTGTTGCCTCCGAAACGTCGTGATTTTTATTTTATTTTACTTTTTTAATGTTTTACCTACACGTGACTTTACCGAAAAAACCTAAGAATACGAGTAGACCAGTTCTACTCGTTGACAAATAAAATAAAAATACCTAAAAATTACTCAATTGGAAGTACACACAGCAACCATTTTAATTAAATTTTTTACCTACGTGACTTTACCGAAAAAACCTAAGAATATGAACCATCCCCCCCCCCCCCCCCCCGACTGGCAACCTCATGCCCAAGTGCAGGCCGGCTTCTGAATCTCCTTGTGTCCACAGGGGCAGCTGTCACTGGGGGTGCCCATTTAAATGTGTCTGAGACGTAACGTCAGTCGCTCACTGCGTTCATAGACACCCCGGATGAAAAGGCCCTATCAATAAACGGGCGATTGTTATTAATTTCGCCAGTAACAAGTGCATTTAAAATTTGAATATTTGTTTCTAGGAACAATGTTTCGATTTAAAGCTTTCGTGACTGCAGGGATTCATCTTATTGGTTCTTTCGGTAAAGTCATCACGTAGAATGGAAGTAATAAAATAATAAAAATAAAACATAATAAAACAATTCTCACGACGTTTCGGCCACAACGCAAGCAACCGTCCTCAGAGTCTGCGCTGGGACTGCAGGTCGCCTCGACAGACCTGTTCTTCACCTGAGGACGGCTGCTTGCGTTGTGGCCGAAACGTCGTGAGAATTATTTTATTGTGTTTTATTTTTATTATTTTATTACTTCCCTTCTACGTGACTTTACCGAAAGAACCAAGAAGAGGAACAATGTTGTTGACGTATAGGAACGAGGCGTAATCCCTGCTCGTGTATTGTGTTACATTGACTTGAATATGATGCTAATTATTGTTGTGTTCTATTCCTTTATATTGCCGCATGTTCAGGAGGAGCTAAATGCCATGTCGAGATCTGATAGCCACGAGAGCTTAAGGAGCGAGTTTGCGTAGCTGTTCTACTTGAAGGCGAGCAGGCCACAGGGGTTTACTTCTGCTCCATAGTTTGGGTTACATGGCCACTCGTCGCACTGATTCCAAAGAACACAGGATGAGATGTTACTATCCTTTGTGCAAGCACTTCCAAGAGTTCACGAACAGTGAGCCTGGTGACATTTGGGGAGCGCATCGTCAGTAGTGAACCTTTGGTTCCTAGGGTGTTTCGGCCTTTCACACGATACACTCTCCCCAAAGGCGGCCAGCGACAGGGCGATCAATCCTACGCTTGTGTCCCATTCCCAATTAGTCGTAGGAGTTGCCTTGTTGTTGATAGCACATTGCCCTGTTGATGTTGTGATGCGGTCGATGGTTCACCGGTGTCTTTGAGGAATGTCAAAGCAAGCAGGTGCGATGTCTGCCTCTCAAATGATCAGGCTAATGAAGATTTTGTTCTATTTGTAATAAGAGCCTATGTCAGATTCACATGGTGATCGACTTGGCCGGTCCCGCTTTACAGCCAATGGGGGAAGAGCCTGGGAGCATGGCCACGGCGTGATCACGGGATGTCAGCTAGGTGATTGGTTTCGCTGGTCTTGGCCTCAGCCAATGGGAAGACAAGTCAGGGGCGTGGTCCCGGGAGTTGATGGGGAATCTAGGTGATTGGTTCTGCTGGTCTTGGCCTCAGCCAATGGGAAGACAAGTCAGGGGCGTGGTCCCGGGAGTTGATGGGGAATCTGGAACATTCGGCGCAGGCTATTGAGGATTGGCTGGAGGGTACCACGTGACCCAGGCGTTAAATAAGGGGAGAGAGGAGAGACACGGGGTCAAACACAGAACTAAGAGAGGGGGAGAGGCCACGCGCGAGTGGGGCTCCGGGTGCCACGTGGTGGTGTGCCTCTGGTGGCTGTCTGCCCGCTTCCCGTTGCCTGCCAGCAACGGGGAGTGTTTGTGAACTGCAAAGAAAGTGAAATAAAAGGACCGATTCTACAAGCCGTCTCCAGCGTGTTATTACATATTCAACATCAAACACACGTGGCCTTGTCACAATTACTGCGATGTGGAATGTGAGCGCACGTGATGATTTGCCGGTGGACGAGGTTGTTGTCGGAGTTGCCCATCAGCAGCGTGCAGATGTGGCTGTCCGGAGCTGTGCGCTGGGACTGCAGCTCCGCAAAGTTCTTCAGAACCACTGTGATCATCACCTCAGCCACAGCCTTGTAGTGCCGGTGACCCTGGGGGGACAAACAGCAACCAGCGCTATTCTGAATTGATGATAGGCAAAGCTTAGCAAGCCATGAAATTAAATTGACTTTTCTAGATTTGAAGCTTTCGTGACTGCACGGATTTATAATCTTAGGTTTTTTTGGTAAAGTCACGTAGGTAAAAAAATTGGAATTAATAAAAATAAAAATAAAATGGAAATCACGACGTTTCGGAGGCAACACAAAACTCCGTCTTCAGGTGGAAACGGAGGCTTGTGTTGCCTCTGAAACGTCGTGATTTTTATTTTATTTTTATTTTACTTTTATTAATTTTAATTTTTTACCTACGTGACTTTACCGAAAAAACCTAAGAATATGAAATTGACTTTTACTAAGGTGAAGATAAAAGTTAATTAGTCGATTTCTTCATTTAAAACCTCGGGAAAAAACACTTAACAAAACACAGAAAAATTGTAGCAACATGTCGATTTAAAGCTTTCGTGACTGCAGAGATTCATCTTCTTGGTTCTTTCGGTAAAGTCACGTAGAAGGGAAATAATAAAGTCATAAAAATAAAACACAATAAAATACAATTCTCACGACGTTACGGCCACAACGCAAGCAGCCGTCCTCAGGTGGAGAACAGGTCTGTCTGCTTCAGACGCTGTCTTTCCGACAGACCTGTTCTTCACCTGAGGACGGCTGCTTGCGTTGTGGCCGAAACGTCGTGAGAATTATTATTTATTAAGTTTTATTTTTATTATTTTATTATTTCCCTTCTACGTGACTTTACCGAAAGAACCAAGAAGATGTAGCAACATTCTAAAAGCCAACGGCCACTTGCCCCACTGTAGTCAGCAGCAGTGGCGGCTCCTGCACAATCTCTCAGGGGGGGCAAATGTCTGGATGATTGATAAGGATAAGCTCCACCCATGCAATGGATACATTAACAGCTTAAGCAGGTAAAGGCAACTTCACTTCTTTAATATTAATGACAAATAAAGTGACTCTTACAATACATCTTGTTTCTATACTCACTATTATTACAATCCACTCAGTTTCTTTTATTAAAGATTCCACTAGGTGGCGACAAATAATATTGTTGACTGAAACGTGCTTACGTATGATGAGGGCTCAGACTCATCTACCTGCACCATGCTGACTTGGTACTTGGGAAGATGCTGAACGGCGTCTTTCATCTGGTTCCCAAATGGAGGGTGTCTGTTCACTATCTGCACAATGCAGGAATACACCACCAGCAAAAACATCATTTGAGTTTTGTTGAAATGTTGTTTACATAATTGGTGTTTTACCCTTCTATCTGGCAACAAAACGGACACCTTTTTTTTGACAAGGAGTAAAAAAAAGGTGTCAGTTTTGTTGCCAGATAGAAGGGTAAAAAAACAATTATCATATTTTTACTGGCAAATGAGGTTCCAATGATGTTGTTTACAAACAAGAAATGCACTCGTTATTGGCTGGTGTTACTATTATTAAGGAAGGCTGACGATTATAATGCGTTATAATTATAATAAAAGTGTTTCCCCCTTTTTTCTGGCAACAAAACTGAAACCTTTTTACGAGGAATCACGTGGTGCATTCACCACAATACTTGTGGTCAGTGGCGGCTCCTGCAAAATCTCCCAGGGGGGGCAAATGTCTGGATGATTGATAAGGATAAGCTCCACCCATGCAATGGATAAATTAACAGCTTAAGCATGTAAAGGCAACTTCACTTCTTTAATATTAATGACAAATAAAGTGACTCTTACAATACATCTCCTTGTTTGTTTCTATACTCACTATTATTACAATCCACTCAGTTTCTTTTATTAAAGATTCCACTAGGTGGCTTACGTATGATGACGTAAGCACGTTAGTGCGAGCCCTCCCGGAAGCCGTAGAGAATGCATGGCAGCGCCCCCGTTCGAAAAGAACATCTTTGAATGTAAGTCTATGGGGCCACTCGGGGCGATTCTCAGCCGGAGTGAAATCGCCCAAAAAGAGGCGGTACTCCACAGAACGTGACATTACGCTGATTGGACTATATCCAGAGGCTGCAGTGACGGCTAGCGTGACTCTGTGGTTGAATGAGATTGGTGGTGCGTCGCCCAATCGCCCTAATGAAGAAACCGCCCCTGCTTGTGGTCAACATGCAAACAAAAACACACACTCTGATAATATGATGCATTGCCCTTGGAACCGATTGGTCCACCCCAGAGACGGCTTTCTTTTGAGCCTCGCCTCAATTGGTGCCAGACCAGAGGAGGTCTAATGATGTAGATGCTCACCCCGAGCCCTCGTTACTTTGATAGCGCAGAATAGTCTGTGAGCTGTACGCCTTTTGCGCTGTTGACACATTTCGATTTAAAGCTTTCGTGACTGCAGGCATTCATCTTCAGATTCATCTGCAGCTCCTTACTATTCAAATTGCGTTGTGGCCCGAAACGTCGTGAGAATTATTTTATAATGTTTTATTTTTATTATTTTATTATTTCCCTTCTACGTGACGACTTTACCGAAAGAACCAAGACGATGAACCCATGATCTCACCAACTCAATTTCCCGTCCATGAGTGTTTTCAATTTTCTCAAAAGATGTCAATCCAGCATTGACCAGTGCGCTGGACATTGAGAAGCCTACAGCAGAAACACACTGAGGTTAAGTCGCGTCTAATTGAAGGGTCTTATGAATAGAATTTCGTGGTTGTCAATCATTGCGTACGTATTGCTTTTATACGTAAAAGGGACGATCATTTACCGATTTTTTCAAGTTGTTTTAAAACGGAAGGTGAATTCTCCCAAAGCTTTGCACGAAAACATTTCGTGAGTTGGACTGCATTCAGCACGGCCTGGAAGTTATTCCGTTTATCCTTTTGTTGCAAAAATTCGGCAAGACCTACAAACGCAAAACGGAGATACAACAGATATTAATACTTCTAGATTTGAAGCTTTCGTGACTGCAATGATTCATATTCTTAGGTAAAGTCACCGTGTAGGTAAAAAACATAAAATAGTAAAATAAAATAAAAATCACGACGTTTCGGAGGCAACACAAGCTTCCATCTTCAGGTGGAACCGTCACAGCCACGGCAGCCGTATCAAGTACATGAGAGATTGCAAGAGCTACCACTCCGTTTATATAATGGTTGGAGAAGATAGATATAAATACTGCCGTGCTTTTAAACGTTAGCTCCGGAAACAAAGTGCATTTGTTTTAATGGTGCAGTTGAAACTGACATTTTGTAAGTCTGATTCCAGTCCTGAAGATTTTCGCAGTGTCCTGTATCAACGCAAAATCTTGCACGAGGACACATCCCAGCTGAGCTTGAATGAGACTACAAACAAAGCATCATTTCAATTGTGTAGCAAAGCAGAATTCTCCACTTGAACACACTGTTTTTGCAATATAGACGCAGTTTCGAGTGTTAAAGTGAGTGTCAATACATCTTGAAGGCTCTCCAATTAAAATGTATAATAATCTGCAAATGTGTAGAACGTTAAAACTCTAAGCACGAATTTTTCGATTTAAAGCTTTTTTCGTGACTGCAGGGATTCATCTTCTTGGTTCTTTCGGTAAAGTCACGTAGAAGGGAAGTAATAAAATAATAAAAATAAAACATAATAGAATAATTCTCACGACGTTTCGGTCGCTTGCGTTGTAGCCGAAACGTCGTGAGAATTATTTTATTTTATTATGTTTTATTATTTTATTACTTCCCTTCTACGTGACTTTACCGAAAGAACCAAGAAGGTCTAAACACGAAGTCGTGTTGCTAACGAGAAATAAAGTTCATAACCAACTCCAAATGTAAACGCATGTGCTATCTTAACAGGAGCATTGAAACCATAGCTGTACCTACCAGTTGATTTTCATTTCACTGGTTTTTATTTTACCGGGCATTGGAAATCTGAAATGATATAAGCATTCAGACTCACTCATAATGGTTTATACAAATGACTAATACACACCCAATATACAATATACACTAAACATGTGCTCATACCGACTTAAACCCCATTCGTTTATCCATACAATATTTTGAAATACGTAATACATTAACAACTACTATTGTCTCAAATATGTAAATGTTTTCTCACCTGATGTTTCACTATCCGAGAAACCTTTTGTTTAAATTAATTATAATACAAATTTTAGACCGATAAAACATTTGATATGAAACTTTCAACATGATTCCAGTAGTGTAGGTTCTGTATTTTGATTCCAAAGATGTAATGACATTAACACAGGATCTTAAAAAATTAACCCGTAAAAACAAAGTTTTTCACTATAAATCCTTTATATGCGTGGCATCGGTTTTATTTTATTATTCATTTCTGTTTTTTTTTTGTAAGAGTTTCATTTTTATCACATTGGTATTTAAATTAAATATGAAAAAAAAAATCCCTAAAAAGTGGAAAATTTTTTAAAATTTTTTTCACGAAAATAAATTGTCACGCACAACGAGTCTGTGCGCAAAATGTCAGCTCGATAGGATCACGGGAAGTGGGTTAAAAAACGACCGAAAGATTTGCACGGTCGTAAGCAAGCAAGTGAACTTAATATAAAGGATTTAAAATAAGTATAACCCGTAAAAACAAAGTTTTTCACTATAAATCCTTTATATGCGTGGCGGCTAGAGTCCTCTCGTCCTCTGGCTTGAGATGGCTGCCACCTATGGGCCAGATGATTGTCTGCCAGTATTAAGCAATTGGTAATTAAATATTTAATATGTTTTCCCTAAACAGTGTAAAATTTTGGAAAAAAAATTTCACGAACATTAATTGTCTCGCACAACGAGTCTGTGTGCAAAATGTCAGCTCGATTGGATCACGGGAAGTGGGTTAAAAAACGACCGAAAGATTTGCACGGTCGTAAGCGCGCAAGCAAGCAAGCAAGTGAACTTAATATAAATGATTTTTAAAAATACCTAACATTCTTCAAACTGACCAAATATACCATTTCAAAATTGCAATTTATTGTAATGTAACTTTGCCAACACACATTATGTATAATTGTATATTTACAAATGGCAATTCACCTACATTGGTTTAAACAAAAGTGACTGCTGATGAGACACGAAATGTCAACACCAGTCCAGAGTTTGGTTGCGTGGAACCAAGTCTGCTGAGATGATGCACTCCCACAACTCCACGTGGCGGCTGATAGGAAGTGTCACGTGTCTGCATTATTTCATGTGGATGGACAGATACAGTGAGGGGGGGAAAAGTATTTGATCCCCTGATGATTTTGTACGTTTGCCCACTGACAAAGAAATGATCAGTCTGTAATTTTAATGGTAGGTTTATTTGGAGAGTTTGGAATCTGATTGATTGATTGCTTCTGTGAACAGGTGTCTTTTATACAGGTAACAAGCTGAGATTAGGAGCACTCCCTTTAAGAGTGTGCTCCTAATCTCAGCTCGTTGCCTGTATAAAAGACACCTGGGAGCCAGAAATCTTTCTGATTGAGAGGGGGTCAAATACTTATTTCCCTCATTAAAATGCAAATCAATGTATAACATTTTTGACATGCGCTTTTCTGGATTATTTTGTTGTTATTCTGTCTCTCACTGTTCAAATAAACCTACCACTAACATTACAGACTGATCATTTCTTTGTCAGTGGGCAAACGTACAAAATCATCAGGGGATCAAATACTTTTTAAATCCTTTATATTAAGTTCACTTGCTTGCTTGCTTGCGCGCTTGCGACCGTGCAAATCTTTCGGTCGTTTTTTAACCCACTTCCCGTGATCCAATCGAGCTGACATTTTCCACACAGACTCGTTGTGCGTGACAATTTATTATCGTGAAATTTTTTTCCTAAATTTTACACTTTTTAGGAAAAAATTAATTATATTTAATTACCAATTGCTTAATGCTGGCAGGCAATCATCTGACCCATAGGTGGCAGCCATCTCAATCCAGAGGACGAGAGGACTCTAGCCGCCACGCACATAAAGGATTTATAGTGAAAAACTTTGTTTTTACGGGTTAATTTTTTCCCTCACTGTATGTGAAGGAGTTATATTGTACGCTTATTATTTTTTCCCATTCTTTACGACGATGCTAATGTTTATTTTGCGATGTGTCACCGATTGTTACCGTATGATGTGCTTTTTGGCCACGTTCAATGTGTTCAGGGCTTTCTTTTCATTGACGCGGAGTGCGATGTCTTTGTACTCTCGACAGCTTGAGATGAGCGTCACCTGTACAGAAGGTCAAAGATCAAGATGCCATCGTGGCCAACACCGTTGATGCCGCTACACAGAATTGGAAAATAATTCCACCCTCCGTCAGATCCCGCATCTACTGCACGATAAACACGCACAATGAGCTCCCAAGTCTGCCCTGACACTAAACGCACATCCATTACAGGGTCAAATCAGTATTTGATGACCACCAAACATGGCAAAACTGTTTTCTTCTTCTTGGTTCTTTCGGTAAAGTCATCACGTAGAAGGGAAGTAATAAAATAATAAAAATAAAACATAATAAAATTATTCTCACAGAGTCAGACTCTGTCGCCTCGACGGACCTGGTTTTCACCTGAGGACGGCTGCTTGCGTTGTGGCCGAAACGTCGTGAGAATAATTTTATTATGTTTTATTTTTATTATTTTATTACTTCCCTTCTACGTGGTGACTTTACCGAAAGAACCAAGAAGATGAATCCCTGCAGTCACGAAAGCTTTAAATCAAAATGGCAAAACTGTTTTCTTCTTCTTGGTTCTTTCGGTAGGAGTGGCAGCAGTGGCAGCAGCGGCAGCAGTGGTAGTAGCAGTGACAGCAGCGGCAGCAGGGGCAGCAGCGGCATCAGCGGCAGCAGCGGCAGCAGCGGCAGCAGCGGCAGCAGCGGCATCAGCGGCAGCAGCGGCAGCAGCGGCAGCAGCGGGTAGCAGCGGCAGCAGCGGCAGCAGCGGCAGCAGCGGCAGCAGCGGCAGCAGCGGTAGCAGCGGCAGCAGTGCATCAGAGAATATACGGAGCAGGGTAGCAGCGGAGCGAAGGACTCTGGGAGAGCTGGAGAGAGAGCGGAGGGACACAGAGCGCCGCTGATGGCGGATGGCGTGGCGGGGCGAACGGGTGGCCACGGAGCGGCGATGGGGAGAAGGTGTGGACCTTGAGGAGAAAATAAACGGGGCGAGAAAGACAACACGAGTACGAGTTCTACATCTGCACAATTGCTTGTCTGCTTATTAATTTGTTTTACTGGTAGGAACGAAGTGAACCAGCCTACAATAGATTATATCGTCCGTCCGATGTCCGATTAGGTGTAGCAACATCGCCCCCTACTGCAAACACTTGGCAGGACCCTACAAAAACCTTTAGACTCAGTGAGGCTTTCCTGGCTAAACAAGTGTAACATTCCCTTATAATTCCCTGAGATAGTTTTTAATTAAAACATTTAAATTAAAAATTTACTCACAGCGGCCTAAAACCTACAGCTAGGCCTAAAGCCTAGAACTAGGCCTCAAACTCTCCCTTCGTATCGTACCCCCGCGTGTGTGAAAGGGAGTTAATGTTTAACAATGTTACATTCCCTGATGTTTTTAAATAGAAACATTTACATTTAAAGCTTTTACATTAACAATTAAAACATTTAAATTAAAAATTAACTCACAGCGGCCTAAAGCCTACAGCTAGGCCTAAAGCCTAGAACTAGGCCTCAATCTCTCCCGTTGTATCGTCCGTTTAGGTGTAGCAACATCGCCCCCTACTGCAAACACTTGGCAGGACCCTACAAAAACCTTTAGACTCAGTGAGGCTTTCCTGACTAAACAAGTGTAATAATAATACATTATGTTTATATTCTTTGGCTATTCGTTCCTACCAGCCCACCCCGCAGGGACCTGTTACAAAATAACTCGCGGCCTGTTGTCAAATATCCAAAATAATAGTCTACAGCCGCTTGTCAAATCCGCTGCCGCTGCTGCTGTTGCTATAAGTGGTTGTTTGATGCGTGTCACACACACACACATCCTTGTCAGTTCTAGATTTGAAGCTTTCGTGACTGCAAGGATTCGTATTCTTAGGTTTTTTCGGTAAAGTCACTGTGTAGGTAAAAACATCAAAATTAATGAAAATAAAATAAAACAAAAAATCACGACGTTTCGGAGGCAACACAAGTCTCCGTCATAAGGTGGGACCGTCACAGCCGAATTAGCTGCATCAAGTGAGGCAATGATTCAAGATGTGATCCCTTATAAGCAAGTTGAAGGTGGGGAGGAGAGGGGGGGGGGGGGAGCTCATCAGAATGTGGTAGCCAATGAATGGAAACGTATCGGGAGGGAGGGGGGGCAGGGCTCAAAGACAGCACGGAGCGCTCAACACAAGTCTCCGTCATCATTGGCTACCACATTCTGATGAGCTCCCCCCCCCTCTCCTCCCCCCCCTTCAACTTGCTTATAAGGGATTACATCTTGAATAATTGCTTCACTTGATGCAGCTAATCTGGCTGTGACGGTCCCACCTGATGACGGAGACTTGTGTTGCCTCCGAAACGTCGTGATTTTTTTTTTATTTTATTTTATTTTCATTAATTTTGATGTTTTTTACCTACACGGTGACTTTACCGAAAAAACCTAAGAATACGAATTCTTGTCTGTTAACATGATTACAGTCACTAGCTGTCATGCGTTGTCATGAACCCTTTCTTAAAGTCTTAAAGTCTTAAAGTCACTTTATTGTCAAGTGTGTTACATGCATGACATACAACACAGATGAAATTACAGTCCTCTCTCTTGGTTCCACGGTGCAACCAAGCAATACAAAAATTAATCACAATTAACAGACATAAATAAACAATAAACAATCGGCGATCAACACAAGATAAATAATCAAAAATGTAATAAACTTAAAATAGACAACAGTCAAGAATTTTTAAAATGTAAAATATTATTTAAATAAAGTATTTAAAGAAATAAGATATTTAAACCAGTGTGGTAGTGCGATGTAGTGCAATGTGCAGTCCAGAGATCAGGATGTACGAGTGAATGTGTGTGTGGGGGATGGGGTCAGGGGGCAAAGGGGGGGTGGGTGGGCAGAGGAGTAGGGGGCTCTCTGCCTCTGCTAAGTAAGGGAGATTGCGCAGTCAGCCGTGTTGACGTGAGTTGATGGTGGTGATGTGGAACAATGAGAAGCCAACTCTGTGACCTGGCTTACCAGGTCTTGAATGGCTTCCGATCCCTGTATAGTGCCAAACAGCTTGATGGTGTCAAATGCCATGTAGTAGGAAGCCATCAATCTACCGACATCTGTGCAACATAAAACCAGTTTTGTTGAAATAGCAAAACATTAAAAGAAAGGCAAAGGAGGTCCCGTGATATGTCAAAAATTAACCCGTAACAATCAAAGTTTTTCACTATAAATCCTTTATATGCGTGGCGGCTAGAGTCCTCTCGTCCTCTGGCTTGAGATGGCTGCCACCTATGGGTCAGATGATTGCATTGCCACCATTAAGCAATTGGTAATTAAATATAAAAAAAAATCTTAAAAAGTGTATAATTTTGGAAAAAAAATTTTCACGAACATTAATTGTCTCGCACAACGAGTCTGTGTGCAAAATGTCAGCTCGATTGGATCACGGGAAGTGGGTTAAAAAACGACCGAAAGATTTGCACGGTCCTAAGCAAGCAAGCACTCAAGCAAGCAAGTGAACTTAATATAAAGGATTTAAAAATAAACTTAAATTAAATGCCAGGGTACCGGTGGCTATACTTCATGCCTGTAATACAGGGTGGCTCGACCAAACACAAATTCTAGATTTGAAGCTTTCGTGACTGCAAGGATTCATATTCTTAGGTTTTTTTCGGTAAAGTCACGTAGGTAAAAAATGTAAAATTAATAAAATAAAATAAAAATCACGACGTTTCGGAGGCAACACAAGCTTCCATCTTCAGGTGGAACCGTCACAGCCACGACAGCCGTATCAAGTAAATGAGAGATTGCAAGAGCTACCACACTTTTTATTAAACCAACCATCATATATACGGAGTGGTAGCTCTTGTAATCTCTCATTTACTTGATACAGCTGTCGTGGCTGTGACGGTTCCACCTGAAGACGGAAGCTTGTGTTGCCTCCGAAACGCCGTGATTTTTATTTTATTTTACTTTTATTCATTTTAATTGTTTACCTACACGGTGACTTTACCGAAAAAACCTAAGAATACAAACACAAATTGTAAAAACTCCCTTCCCAAGGTCGCCAATATCGCCATATGCTTGGCTTGCCAGGGTATGGCAGAAGAGCAAATTCGTGACATCCATATGCACGGATATTGAGTTACTACCCCTGGCACACGTACGTTTTTGTTCCATGCACAGACGCTCATTAACATTATAAAGGACTCTTCTCACCCTGGACACTCACTGTTTGAGCTGTTGCCATCAGGCAGACGATTCAGATCGGTCAAAACAAGGACAAACAGATTCAAACAGAGCTTTTATCCTACAGCGATCAGCACACTCAATAATGCTAATTAATTATTAAGTAATAGCGTTTACAATTGACTGTGAAATAGAGATGTGCAATGACAAAATGTAACCTTATGTGGGTATACTTGGGCTGTTTTTATATATAGTATAAATTGATTATCTTTCATTTAATTTTATTTTTATTTTCTTGTTTAATTCAATTTAAATTTATGAATGATGCCCTGACTGGTGAGCATTTTAAATTTCGTTGTACTGGTGACAATGACAATAAACGATCTATATTGCATATTGCTATAATTCATGGAGTTGGCGAAACATCCCAATATAGCGGCACAGGGCGTGGGCAGTTGTTGGCAAATGCTCTCACTGCCTCCCCTGCTGGTCTGTGCGTTTCCTCCTGTGACTCCGTTAGGAAGCTGTGCACGTTACAAATTCTACAGCACCTTCTGAGATTTGCACTGATGACTGGACACTATATACGAATAAAATGTGAAATGACATTATGTTTTTTCATCACAAATAGAGAAAATAAACACGTAGTAATAATAATAAGCAGAATGATGAATTACCTGTTGGCTTAATATATCCGTTCTGCATACAAATTAGCTTGTAAGTGGCCAGTGAGTTCAAACTCTCTAAGCATAGTTCTGAAATAAAGAATGCAAAATAAACATTGACGTCGTTGTGGACAATACAACCAATGAACTAAGCAGGTCATCAGCCTTCCCATATTTGTTAAAATCAAAAATATGCTCGACACATTCATAGCTAACAGAGCAGATCCCTGCCTAGTGACGTCTGGCAGGTCACTAATATTGGTTCAAGCCAGCCTGACGGCTTATACATTGAATGTCGAAACAGGTCCAGATTTTTCTTCTTGGCGCTTTCGGTAAAGTCACGTAGAAGGGAAACAATAAAATAAAAAATATATAAAACAATAAAATGCTCACGACGTTTCGATCGCAACACAAGCAATCATCATCAGGTGTGAAAAACACAGCAAAAAAAAAATGGAAAAAACCGGCACTTATTTTTTTTTCTAATTTTCTTGCTGTGGTTTTCACACCTGATGATGATTGCTTGTGTTGCAATCGAAACTTCGTGAGCATTGTCTACGATCATTCCTGTAAAATTACAGTTTGATGTGAAATTGCGTTAATATCACTATACCTTGCAGAAGTTTCTTCTCAATATCCTCTTTGCTCAGACCAGCGGCAAATTCTGTATCAGTGATTCACACAGAGTGCATTTATTTGTCAGTATGCTGCCTTTTTATGCATCGCTTGAGATGTACTTAAAATGACTTTAACAGGTGAATATCTTGTCATAAATTTTGATTTAAAGCTTCTTTCCTGACTGCAGGGATTCATCTTCTTGGTTCTTTCGGTAAAGTCACGTAGAAGGGAAGTAACATTTTTTTTATATTATTATATTATATTATTATATTATATTATTATATTATTTTATTATATTATATTATAATATTATATTATTTTATTATTTTATTATATTATATTATTAAATTATATTATTATATTATTATATTATATTATTAAATCATATTATTATATTATATTATTTTATATTATTAAATTATATTATTATATTATATTATTAAATTATATTATTATATTATATTATTATATTATATTATTAAATTATATTACTATATTATTTTATTATATTATATTATTAAATTATATTATTATATTATTTTATATTATTAAATTATATTATTATATTATTTTATTATATTATTATATTATATTATTTTATTATATTATTTTATTAAATTATATTATTTTATTATATTATATTATTTAATTATATTATTATATTATTTTATTATATTGTATTCTAATTATTTTATTACTTCCCTTCTACGTGACTTTATCTTGTCATAGTCAAAACTATTTAAACACTTGATGTCAATGAACAAACTCTAAATTGTCAGAATGTTTAACATTGACCCCTTACAAATACACTCTAATTATGTCCTTTGTACTTCATAACATTCAAACATGTTATTTCCTCACAGCAATCGCGGCTGTGAAGGTTCCACCTGAAGACGGAAGCTTGTGTTGCCTCCGAAACGTCGTGATTTTTATTTTACTTTCATTAATTTTATTTTTATTTTTTACCTACACGGTGACTTTACAAAAAAACCTAAGAGTATACTATCACACACATTAGCGATTCAAGAGGCAACGCTATTTTTTTTTGCATCTGTCACGCGAATATTGTACGTTTTCATTTTGAATTGCAAATGCATTTCTTACTGTAATACTTTGGGTTTTTGAGTGCCCGAACGTACAGGAATGTGGATCGGATCCAATCCAATGCCACGTTGACATCTGTGATCGTGTGCAAGACGATCTCTGCATTGAGGTGCTCTGTTAGATTCATGTGCAAACTGCAGGAGACCGAAGGTGTTGACAAATGAACGGTACATAGCAGAGGTGGGACAAAGTCATTGTTATGCAAGTCCAAGTCGAGTCTGAAGTCATCAAATTCATGACTCGAGTCTGACTCGAGTCCAAGTCACATGACTCGAGTCCACACCAGCTCAGAGGTGGGACAAAGTCATTGTTATGCAAGTCCAAGTCGAGTCTGAAGTCATCAAATTCATGACTCGAGTCTGACTCGAGTCCAAGTCACATGACTCGAGTCCACACCAGCTCAGAGGTGGGACAAAGTCATTGTTATGCAAGTCCAAGTCGAGTCTGAAGTCATCAAATTCATGACTCGAGTCTGACTCGAGTCCAAGTCACATGACTCGAGTCCACACCAGCTCAGAGGTGGGACAAAGTCATTGTTATGCAAGTCCAAGTCGAGTCTGAAGTCATCAAATTCATGACTCGAGTCTGACTCGAGTCCAAGTCACATGACTCGAGTCCACACCAGCTCAGAGGTGGGACAAAGTCATTGTTATGCAAGTCCAAGTCGAGTCTGAAGTCATCAAATTCATGACTCGAGTCTGACTCGAGTCCAAGTCACATGACTCGAGTCCACACCAGCTCAGAGGTGGGACAAAGTCATTGTTATGCAAGTCCAAGTCGAGTCTGAAGTCATCAAATTCATGACTCGAGTCTGACTCGAGTCCAAGTCACATGACTCGAGTCCACACCAGCTCAGAGGTGGGACAAAGTCATTGTTATGCAAGTCCAAGTCGAGTCTGAAGTCATCAAATTCATGACTCGAGTCTGACTCGAGTCCAAGTCACATGACTCGAGTCCACACCAGCTCAGAGGTGGGACAAAGTCATTGTTATGCAAGTCCAAGTCGAGTCTGAAGTCATCAAATTCATGACTCGAGTCTGACTCGAGTCCAAGTCACATGACTCGAGTCCACACCAGCTCAGAGGTGGGACAAAGTCATTGTTATGCAAGTCCAAGTCGAGTCTGAAGTCATCAAATTCATGACTCGAGTCTGACTCGAGTCCAAGTCACATGACTCGAGTCCACACCAGCTCAGAGGTGGGACAAAGTCATTGTTATGCAAGTCCAAGTCGAGTCTGAAGTCATCAAATTCATGACTCGAGTCTGACTCGAGTCCAAGTCACATGACTCGAGTCCACACCAGCTCAGAGGTGGGACAAAGTCATTGTTATGCAAGTCCAAGTCGAGTCTGAAGTCATCAAATTCATGACTCGAGTCTGACTCGAGTCCAAGTCACATGACTCGAGTCCACACCAGCTCAGAGGTGGGACAAAGTCATTGTTATGCAAGTCCAAGTCGAGTCTGAAGTCATCAAATTCATGACTCGAGTCTGACTCGAGTCCAAGTCACATGACTCGAGTCCACACCAGCTCAGAGGTGGGACAAAGTCATTGTTATGCAAGTCCAAGTCGAGTCTGAAGTCATCAAATTCATGACTCGAGTCTGACTCGAGTCCAAGTCACATGACTCGAGTCCACACCAGCTCAGAGGTGGGACAAAGTCATTGTTATGCAAGTCCAAGTCGAGTCTGAAGTCATCAAATTCATGACTCGAGTCTGACTCGAGTCCAAGTCACATGACTCGAGTCCACACCAGCTCAGAGGTGGGACAAAGTCATTGTTATGCAAGTCCAAGTCGAGTCTGAAGTCATCAAATTCATGACTCGAGTCTGACTCGAGTCCAAGTCACATGACTCGAGTCCACACCAGCTCAGAGGTGGGACAAAGTCATTGTTATGCAAGTCCAAGTCGAGTCTGAAGTCATCAAATTCATGACTCGAGTCTGACTCGAGTCCAAGTCACATGACTCGAGTCCACACCAGCTCAGAGGTGGGACAAAGTCATTGTTATGCAAGTCCAAGTCGAGTCTGAAGTCATCAAATTCATGACTCGAGTCTGACTCGAGTCCAAGTCACATGACTCGAGTCCACACCAGCTCAGAGGTGGGACAAAGTCATTGTTATGCAAGTCCAAGTCGAGTCTGAAGTCATCAAATTCATGACTCGAGTCTGACTCGAGTCCAAGTCACATGACTCGAGTCCACACCAGCTCAGAGGTGGGACAAAGTCATTGTTATGCAAGTCCAAGTCGAGTCTGAAGTCATCAAATTCATGACTCGAGTCTGACTCGAGTCCAAGTCACATGACTCGAGTCCACACCAGCTCAGAGGTGGGACAAAGTCATTGTTATGCAAGTCCAAGTCGAGTCTGAAGTCATCAAATTCATGACTCGAGTCTGACTCGAGTCCAAGTCACATGACTCGAGTCCACACCAGCTCAGAGGTGGGACAAAGTCATTGTTATGCAAGTCCAAGTCGAGTCTGAAGTCATCAAATTCATGACTCGAGTCTGACTCGAGTCCAAGTCACATGACTCGAGTCCACACCAGCTCAGAGGTGGGACAAAGTCATTGTTATGCAAGTCCAAGTCGAGTCTGAAGTCATCAAATTCATGACTCGAGTCTGACTCGAGTCCAAGTCACATGACTCGAGTCCACACCAGCTCAGAGGTGGGACAAAGTCATTGTTATGCAAGTCCAAGTCGAGTCTGAAGTCATCAAATTCATGACTCGAGTCTGACTCGAGTCCAAGTCACATGACTCGAGTCCACACCAGCTCAGAGGTGGTACAAAGTCATTGTTATGCAAGTCCAAGTCGAGTCTGAAGTCATCAAATTCATGACTCGAGTCTGACTCGAGTCCAAGTCACATGACTCGAGTCCACACCAGCTCAGAGGTGGGACAAAGTCATTGTTATGCAAGTCCAAGTCGAGTCTGAAGTCATCAAATTCATGACTCGAGTCTGACTCGAGTCCAAGTCACATGACTCGAGTCCACACCAGCTCAGAGGTGGGACAAAGTCATTGTTATGCAAGTCCAAGTCGAGTCTGAAGTCATCAAATTCATGACTCGAGTCTGACTCGAGTCCAAGTCACATGACTCGAGTCCACACCAGCTCAGAGGTGGGACAAAGTCATTGTTATGCAAGTCCAAGTCGAGTCTGAAGTCATCAAATTCATGACTCGAGTCTGACTCGAGTCCAAGTCACATGACTCGAGTCCACACCAGCTCAGAGGTGGGACAAAGTCATTGTTATGCAAGTCCAAGTCGAGTCTGAAGTCATCAAATTCATGACTCGAGTCTGACTCGAGTCCAAGTCACATGACTCGAGTCCACACCAGCTCAGAGGTGGGACAAAGTCATTGTTATGCAAGTCCAAGTCGAGTCTGAAGTCATCAAATTCATGACTCGAGTCTGACTCGAGTCCAAGTCACATGACTCGAGTCCACACCAGCTCAGAGGTGGGACAAAGTCATTGTTATGCAAGTCCAAGTCGAGTCTGAAGTCATCAAATTCATGACTCGAGTCTGACTCGAGTCCAAGTCACATGACTCGAGTCCACACCAGCTCAGAGGTGGGACAAAGTCATTGTTATGCAAGTCCAAGTCGAGTCTGAAGTCATCAAATTCATGACTCGAGTCTGACTCGAGTCCAAGTCACATGACTCGAGTCCACACCAGCTCAGAGGTGGGACAAAGTCATTGTTATGCAAGTCCAAGTCGAGTCTGAAGTCATCAAATTCATGACTCGAGTCTGACTCGAGTCCAAGTCACATGACTCGAGTCCACACCTCTGGTACGTAGTGGTGGTGGTTTGGCTGCTGCAGCTTCTTACTATTAAAATTACTTCCCTTTATGACTGCCAACCCTACTGCCTCCCCTTGTTGCTGCTAATCCTACATAATGCACGGGCATGATATGACTTTGAACCCCCCCCCCCCCCATCTCCTACACATTCCACAAGTAGTGACTAATCCCATATCTGCATTTTTCCATAAATATGCAACATTCCTCTGTTGATATGCAAATTCCTTTGTCAAGGCGCCCTCCTACTCTAACCCAGCTTAAATATACGCTGCCAAGCTTGGTGGTGTTTCATTCAGACGCTGTCTTTCCGACAGACCTGTTCTTCACCTGAGGACGGCTGCTTGCGTTGTGGCCGAAACGTCGTGAGAATTGTATGTTATTATGTTTGATTTTTATTATTTTATTATTTCCCTTCTACGTGACTTTACCGAAAGTACTAAGAAGATGAAATTAACGGTAGCTACTTCATAGCGATGGGAACATGGAAGATGCAGAGAGGAAGATGCTTAATGGAAATTCACAAAAGGTAGAAAAAAAACACATCATTCTGAACGTATCTTCAAATTAACTGAGAAAGTTTTCATTATAGCATGGAAATTGGAAAGATCCTGAACAAGATAGTATAATTCTAAATAAATGTTTATATTGATACGCTACTTTTCCTCAAAAGAACCAAAGAGCTGTTGCATGTGAAAATGTCATCGTTGAATACGTTGCACTCAGTAATTGCTCTAGTGTTCCAAAGAAATAGTAAGGACGTCAGCTTTCAATCGTGACTTCATAAACATTGACAATTCCCAATCACAAACATGTCTTTGGAGGGCATTCCACAGATGTAGAACCACACAGCAGAAGGCCCCATCGCCCTTGGAGTGCCGTCTCATTAGTGGGATGCAGAGAAGACTGGGATCCATGAAATGTAGATTGCGAGATAGAATACTGGGGTTCTAAAAGTCCCAATGTAGGTGGGTGCTTTATGGGCAAGTAACACGATCTCAGAGTCGATTCTAAGATTCACCCAGAGCCCAAGTGGAGATTGCAGAACACGTGTGTGATCTATCTTCTTGGTTCTTTCGGTAAAGTCACGTAGAAGCTCATTCAGACGCTGTCTTTCCGACAGCCCTGTTCTTCACCTGAGGACGGCTGCTTGCGTTGTGGCCGAAACGTCGTGAGAATTATTTTATTATGTTTTATTTTTATTATTTTATTATTTCCCTTCTACGTGGTGACTTTACCGAAAGAACCAAGAAGATAAATTAGTATTTCCCCAGAATGACTGTGTTGTTAATCTGAAATAACGACGCGCGTGTGTGGACATGTTTCAATGTGACAAGTGTGTTGAATGAAACACCTGGTCTTCACCTGAGGACGGCTGCTTGCGTTGTGGCCGAAACGTCGTGAGAATTATTGTATTATGTTTTATTTTTATTATTTTATTACTTCTCTTCTACGTGACTTTACCGAAAGAACCAGAAGATGACTCCCTGCAGTCACGAAAGCTTTAAATCAAAACATGTACATGTGTATGCCCAATGTATACATGTAACAACAATACTGTCAATCTTAATTTTGAAGCTTTCGTGACTGCATCAATTATTCTTTGGTTCTTTCGGTAAAGTCACGTCTAAAGATAAAATAATGATTCTAGATTTGAAGCTTTCGTGACTGCAATGATTCATATTCTTAGGTTTTTTCGGTAAAGTCACCGTGTAGGTAAAAACATTTTAAAGTAAAATAAAAATAAAAATTCACGACGTTTCGGAGGCAACACAAGCTTCCGTCTTCAGGAGGTACCGTCACAGCCACGACAGCTGCATCAAGTAAATGAGAGATTACAGGAGCTACCACTGCGTTTATATAATGGCTGGAGAGGGGGAAGGGCCGCATACTTTGTATTAATATGGTAAGGTGAGGCTTGAGACCAAGACGAGACTGCATAACAAAGGATATTTATTTTACTTTTTAATGTTTTTACCTACGTGACTTTACCGAAAAAACCTAAGAATATAAAATAATAAATTAAATAATAGCACACGACGTTTCGACTGCAACACAAGCAATCATCATAATCAGGTATAAATGAAATAGCAACAAATAAATCTAACCAGAAAACTATAGACAGACATATAAGCAGACAGACATCACAGAGATACACAGAGAGAGAGCAACACAGAGACACACACAGAGAGAGACACACAACATAGACACACAGACAGACATATAAGCAGACAGACATCACAGAGATACACAGAGAGAGAGAGTAACACAGGTACAGAGAAACGTCGTATGATGCTATTATTTAATTTATTATTTAATCTTTATACGTGACTTTACCGAAAGAACCAAAGAAGAACAATATTGTTAATTGGTTCTTGACCCTTCTATCTGGCAACAAAACTGACACCTTTTTGCAAGGAGTCATGTTTGCATAGACCGCAATACCTGCAGTCATAATACAAACAAAAGAACACAACTCTGATAATGTATGCACTGTCCTTGAAGTTGATTGGTCCACACCCGAGACAGCTTTCCTTCGAGCCTAGTCTCATATGGGTTGTTGCCAGATAGAAGGGTAAAGAACCAATTATCATATTTTTACTGGCAAATGAGGTCCCCATAGTGTAGATGCTTGCCCCGAGCTCTCATACTCTGATGGTGCATTGTCCTTGAGTTGTGCGCCTTTTGGCGTCATCTGGTCCAACCCATATGAGACTGGGCTCTAAGGAAAGCTGTCTCGGGTGTGGACCAATCAACTTCAAGGACAGTGCATACATTATCAGAGTTGTGTTTTTTGTTTGTATTATGACTGCAGGTATTGCGGTCTATGCAAACATGACTCCATGCAAAAAGGTGTCAGTTTTGTTGCCAGATAGAAGGGTAAAGAACCAATTATCATATTTTTACTGGCAAATGAGGTCCCCATAGTGTAGAACAATATTGTCGTTACTGTCCTACCTGCTTTCTAGTTTCTGAGTTCCACTGAGCATTTGTTCATATTTTTCTTTCAATTCGTTTCTTGTCAGTATCACGGCAGTGGCTGAAACATCAAACTGTGAACGATACAACGCATGTCACTTTACATAAACATAGATAATTAGCCGTACTAATCATTAGATAAATTCAGGAAAAGCTTTAATGAGTCTCAGGAAATTAAGATGGATCCTGCATTGAATTATTGGCATGGTTGATTTGAACGTAGAAGGGAAATGATAAAATAATAAAAATTAAACATTATAAAATATAATTTGGTATTTTGTGTTTCCTCCCAAACACAAAACATGTTCAAATACATTTCGATTTAAATTTTGATTTAAAGCTTTCGTGACTGCAGGGATTCATCTTATTGGTTCTTTCGGTAAAGTCACGTAGAAAGGGAAATAATAAAATAATAAAAATAAAACATTATAAAATACAAAATAGTATTCTATTATGTTTTATTTTATTATTTTATTATAAAGTACAAAATAGTATTTAATTGTGTTTTATTTTTATTATTTTATTATTTCCCTTCTACGTGACTTTACCGAAAAAAACAATAAGATGAATCCCTGCAGTCACGAAAGCTTTTAATCGAAATTTATTTGAACATGTTTTGTGTTTGGGAGGAAACACTAATTCCTGGGGGAAACACACAGGTTCACACAAATGTGTTCACAACCAACTTTCTGTACTGCCATCTCGAGTGTGCATGACACGCACGAGCGCTCCCCACTTCCAGCATGACGACACACGTCCATGATCTATCACTGCGCTTGTCATCCTATTGGTTATTAACTTTTTACCATTCTCCTAACAAAAGCACATTTACATGTCTTAACAACTGGTGGACATGGAATGACACGTTCATAACTAAGCAAGAAAAGTGTAACAGTGCATCCTGCAGAACCAGCCATGTGGCTCAGAGGTAGAGCAGCCGTCTTGCAATCGTCTGTGAGTTCAACTCATGGCTAGAGGTTGACTCAGCCCATCATCCCTCTTTGGTCGATAAAATGACACATTCATAACTAAGCAAGTGTAACAGTGCATCCTGCAGAACCAGCCATGTGACTCAGAGGTAGAGCAGCCGTCTTGCAATCGTCTGTGCGTTCAACTCATGGCTAGAGGTTGACTCAGCCCATCATCCCTCTTTGGTCGATAAAATGACACATTCATAACTAAGCAAGTGTAACAGTGCATCCTGCAGAACCAGCCATGTGACTCAGAGGTAGAGCAGCCGTCTTGCAATCGTCTGTGAGTTCAACTCATGGCTAGAGGTTGACTCAGCCCATCATCCCTCTTTGGTCGATAAAATGACACATTCATAACTAAGCAAGTGTAACAGTGCATCCTGCAGAACCAGCCATGTGGCTCAGAGGTAGAGCAGCCGTCTTGCAATCGTCTGTGAGTTCAACTCATGGCTAGAGGTTGACTCAGCCCATCATCCCTCTTTGGTCGATAAAATGACACATTCATAACTGACTTAGAATAGTGTAACAGTGCATCCTGCAGAACCAGCCATGTGACTCAGAGGTAGAGCAGCCGTCTTGCAATCGTCTGTGCGTTCAACTCATGGCTAGAGGTTGACTCAGCCCATCATCCCTCTTTGGTCGATAAAATGACACATTCATAACTAAGCAAGTGTAACAGTGCATCCTGCAGAACCAGCCATGTGGCTCAGAGGTAGAGCAGCCGTCTTGCAATCGTCTGTGCGTTCAACTCATGGCTAGAGGTTGACTCAGCCCATCATCCCTCTTTGGTCGATAAAATGACACATTCATAACTAAGCAAGTGTAACAGTGCATCCTGCAGAACCAGCCATGTGGCTCAGAGGTAGAGCGGCCGTCTTGCAATCGTCTGTGAGTTCAACTCATGGCTAGAGGTTGACTCAGCCCATCATCCCTCTTTGGTCGATAAAATAAGTATCACTTTGTGAAAAAGTCTACATTGGTTGTCCTTTAGAAAGACTCTCCCATTCCATTGGAATCGAGGAGGTCCACCCCTGGCCGAGGGCTGTAAGTAGGAGATGAGCATCACATCAATAAGCAAAAAATCTTGACCTCTTCAAAATAGATGCTGCATTGTCCACATGATGGGTTTCAAGAGATGGGATCCAATAAACTAGAATACATTTGTGCACAATGCATTTAAGTTTTTCTAACGGATACGGTAAAACTTTGGACTGCGAGTAACTTGATCTGCGAGTGTTTTGCAAGACGAGCAAATTTTTAGAATAAATATTAATTTGATGAACGAGCGAGGTCTTGCAATACGAGCAGTGCGTGTGTACGCTTTGTCTGCCGAGCGTCACGCGATCACAACTGATACTATAAGAGTGTCTTCTTGGTTCTTTCGGTAAAGTCACGTAGAAGAGAAATTATAAAATAATAAAAATAAAACATAATAAAATAATAAAAATAAAACATAATAAAATAATTCTCACGACGTTTCGGCCACAACGCAAGCAGCCGTCCTCAGGTGAAGAACACGTCTGTCGATAAGACAGAGTCTGAAAGAAACGTCCTAGGCTTGGAGCGTCTATTTAAGCTGGGAATTATTTTGTCAAGGCGCTCTTCATCCTCCCTCCCAGCTTAAATAGACGCTCCAAGCCTAGGACGTGTCATTCAGACTCTGTCTTATCGACAGACCTGTTCTTCACCTGAGGACGGCTGCTTGCGTTGTGGCCGAAACGTCGTGAGAATTATTTAATTGTGTTTTATTTTTATTATTTTATTATTTCCATTCTACGTGACTTTACCGAAAGAACCAAGAAGATGAATCCCTGCAGTCACGAAAGCTTTACATCGAAATATAATATGATATGATCATATTATTTTATTATTTTATTATATTATTTTATTTTATTATATTATTATATTATTTTATTATGTTGTATTTTTATTACTTTATTACTTCCCTTAACTATACGAGTGCTCTAGATTACAAACACATTTACGGTACGAATTATGTTCGCAATCCAAAGTTTTACCGTACTTAGTTCAGAAAAGTAAGGATGCATGAACCAACATATACAGAAGATGTGCATCTACCTGCGGTCTTCCTGCCCTGCCAATCATCTGTAGAATATCTGTGTCCCTATATTCTTGCAGCATGCCTCCCCCGGTGTAGTGCATCGTCGATTTGACGATGACCAGGTGTGCAGGAAGGTTGACACCCATAGCCAGTGTACTTGTGGAGACTGCAGAGAAATCAAACAAACACAGTTTGATTTAAAGCTTCTTTCGTGACTGTAGCAGGGATTCGTCTTCTTGGTTCTTTCGGTGAAGTCACGTAGAAGGGAAATAATAAAATAACAAAATTGTAACATAATAAAATAATTTAAAGCTTCTTTCGTGACTGCAGCAGGGATTCGTCTTCTTGGTTCTTTCGGTAAAGTCACGTAGAAGGGAAGTAATAAAATAATAAAAATAAAACATAATAAAATAATAAACTTTTGATTTAAAGCTTTCGTGACTGCAGGGATTCGTCTTCTTGGTTCTTTCGGTAAAGTCACGTAGAAGGGAAGTAATAAAATAATAAAAATAAACATAATAAATAATAAACTTTTGATTTAAAGCTTTCGTGACTGCAGGGATTCGTCTTCTTGGTTCTTTCGGTAAGTCACGTAGAAGGGAAGTAATAAAATAATAAAATTTTACATAATAATTATTATGTTATTTTATTATGTTTCATTTTTATTATTTTATTACTTCCCTTCTACGTGACTTTACCGAAAGAACCAAGAAGACAAACAAACACACTCTGTATTTGCACCATTCTTTCATCACAAGGCGATCACGAAAGAACCCGCTGTGTTGGCACACATTCTGCAGTAGTTTCGCGGATGGGGCAATGTTGCTAGATGCTCCATAATAGAGGTTTTGGGTTATTAGTATATATGGCTCAGTATGGGTTTGTAATCCTGAAATATGCACACATGACAGACCCTACTAATTTCACAAAGCCGCATGCAAACCTGATGCATGGACACGTATATCAATCTACAATCTAGTAGTAGGTTTTTACCCTTTCAACTGGTACACTGGTAAAGGAGATGCCTCATAGTATAATCTACAATCTCTCCATGAATAAAGTGTATACACGTGTTTTACGTACACAGCACTGGCAGTTCTCCTCGCAAGAAAACATCTTCAATGTTTCTTCTATCAGACATTTCCATTCCTGCATGATGGTATGCAATTCCTTTGGTCAGCAAATCTACAACAGTAATAAAAACAAATGACACGAATGTTTACTTGATATTTCGATGCAATTATTTTCAATCCTCGTTAACAAAGCACAGTGAGAGCTTTACAAGCGTACCTCTCAACTTGATATCCTTCAGGTAAGAAGCATGCACCTGCAGTCTGAAATGACAATAAATGATCGGTATATATGGTGTAGTGGTGAGCACACTAGACTTGCAATCAATTCCACCTTCCACCCACTCACTCACCCACTCACCCACTCACTCATTCACCCACTCACCCACTCACCCATTCACTCACCCACCCACTCACTCATTCACTCACTCACCCACTCATTCACTCACCCACTCACTCACCCACTCATTCACTCACTCACCCACTCACTCACTCCACCCACTCACTCACCCACTCACTCACCCACTCACTCACCCACTCACCACCCACTCACCCACTCACTCATTCACTCATTCACTCATTCACTCACCCACTCACCCACTCACCCACTTATTCACTCACCCACTCACCCACTAACTCACCCACTCACTCACCCACTCACTCACCCACTCACTTCACTCACTTACCCACTCACTCACTCACCCACTCACCCTTCACTCACTCACCTACTCACCCACTCACTCATTCACTCACCCACTCACTCCACTCACTCCTCACCCACTCACTCACTCACCCACCACCCACCCACCACTCACTCACCCACTCACTCACCCACTCACTCACTCACCCACCCAACCACCCACTCACTCACTCACCCACTCACCCACTCACTCACTCACCCCCCACTCCTCACCCACTCACTCACTCACCCCCACTCACTCACCCACTCACTCACTCACTCACCCACTCACTCACTCACCCACTCATTCACTCACCCACTCACCCACTAACTCACCCCTCACTCACCCACTCACTCACCCACTCACTCCACTCACTTACCCACTCACTCACTCACCCACTCACTCACCCATTCACTCACTCACCTACTCACCCACTCACTCACTCATTCACTCACCCACTCACTCCACTCACTCACCCACTCACTCACTCACACCACCCCCACCCACTCACTCACTCACCCACTCACTCACTCACTCACCCACCCAACCACCCACTCACTCACTCACTCAGCCACTGACTCACTCACTCAGCCACCCACTCACTCACCCACTAACTCAATCAGCCACTCACTCACACCCACCCACTCACTCACCCACTCACTCACCCACTCACTCACTCACCCCCAACCACCCACTCACTCACTCACTCACCCACTCACTCACCCACTCACTCATTCACTCACCCACTTACCACTCACTCACCCACTCACTCCTCACTTACCCATCCACTCACCCACCCACTTACCCACCCAGCCCACTCACTCATCCACTCACTCACCCACCCACTCACCCACTCACTCACGCACTCACTCACCCACACCACCCACCCACCCACTCTCTCTCTCACTCACCCACTCACTCACCCACTCACTCACTCACCTACTCACCCACTCACTCATTCACTCACCCACTCACTCACCCACTCACCCACTCACTCACCCACTCACCCACTCACTCACCCACTCACTCATTCACTCACCCACACACTCACACTCACTCACTCACCCACTCACTCACTCACCTACTCACCCACTCACTCATCCACTCACCTACTCACCACCCACTCACTCTCTGCTCACTCACTCCACTCACTCACCCACTCACCCATTCACTCATTCACTCACCCACTCACTCACTCACCCACTCACCCACTCACTCACCCACTCACTCATACACTCACCCACACACTCACCCACTCACTCACTCACCCATTCACTCACTCACCTACTCACTCACCCACTCACCCACTCACTCACCCACTCACTCACCCACCCACCCACTCATCCACTCACCCACTCACTCACTCACCCACTCACCCTCACTCACCACCACCCACCCACTCACCCACCCACTCACTCACTCACCCACTCACCCACTCACTCACTCACTCCACTCACTCCACTCACTCACTCACCCACTCACCTACTCACTCACTCACTCTCTGCTCACTCACTCCACTCACGATCTTTTAAACAACGGTGCACGTGTTTTTAACCCCCCTCCCTCCCCACCACTGCCCGTGCCCACTGAGCAGTGTATAAACACACAAGCCGGCAGGTGGCGCGTAGTGCGGTAAAGTGTGGGTACGCCTGCCTCTCCCATCACGTCTGGTCAATGTGACAGAGTAGACCA